AACATAATTCATGTATTTTAGTAGTTCTCCATTCCGTGCCTTCAACTAATCAAATTAAAACAGTAATTTTTATGCATATAAATTAAATACACAATTTTACGTCATATAAAGTTCCAGCTTGATCATAAAGAGCTACATCACTTGAGCTAATATTAAGTTTAATTAAACCATGTTTTTCAATGTCGTCTTCTGTTTGAATTCCACGTTCATATCTTGGCTTCACCATCTGGGTAATAACACCAGATGAAAATAACGATGAATATAAAACTATTAATATTAATATCAACATCAGAACAACGCGACCACGAAGATGGCGAGGCATTTCAGTGTCTGTCAATGGTTGTAAGAAAAACAAACGTAAAACCGACCAAATTGGTGAGTTGTTATTTGATCGATTTAATGCCATTTCCCACCGTAAGTAGACAAATTCAAAGAATGCAGAAAAAAGTATTAGTATCCATAGAGGTATTTCGAACACTTGTATCAATTGTAGCCAATTATTGGCCAATCTAGAAATTGGATAAGACTTAGAATTTATATATATATAACATAGAAATCATGTGTACTTTGGTTTTGGAACAGCGTATACAACTGAAAAAAAGGTGGATGGATATGATTGTGGAAAATAAATTTGACTTGAGGACCTGTGGGCCAAATAAAACGCATTCTTTTCTAACCCCGCTTGGATCACATTTTCTTCGGAGAAAAAAATTTTAAACTGAATGTTTAGATAAATTGAAAAGTAATGCACAATAGATGCGTCAACTGATTCCAACTTATACACTCCTTTTCTTTTTGCTATATATCTAAAGGGATAATCCACGCTTACATCAAGATTAATTCTGGCATTTGGATAATGTTTCCACCTATCATCGAAGAATGCCTCGACACCGACGTAACGCGAATCGTTATAGAATTGAGATTCCAAGATGTTCCAGCGACTTAATTGAACATATTTCGTTCTTTCAAAGTTTGCATAACCATAAATGGGGAAGAAATGTGGGTATTTTATTATGACAACTACGTGGATTCCCAAGTCATCATTGAAAATAGTATACAGCTCCATGTTGGTGTAATGCAGAATAATAACGATTGCTTTCATATCGGCATTTCTTTGTTCGATCATACAATTGATGAATGGATTAAAGTCGTCAATCGTGAAGTCGAACGGATCTTCAAGTATGTACTGACGGCAACCATGTGTGCATTGTGTATCATTTAACACCACTGGAAACGATTGTGATAATGGCCAAACTCTGTCGACAATGGGAATTACATTCGGTCTGTAATACGCAATGCACAGATCATTCTGGAAATGAACAGAAGCTATTGTATTGATGAGTAAGTTTAGAGACAATTCGACACTCTTAGGTAACATTCTCGCCTATGGTTCAGAACTGTTTGAAGTTGTTTAACAAAATTCTGTTTTAATATATAGAATTGGGAACTATGTAATGCAGTCATTTTACCGAATTGGTGACTTTAAGTATATTGGTCAATTTGTCCAAATGTGAAGAAGTCAAGGAGCACTCTTCAGATATTAGATTGGCTAAAGCTAAAGCGAGTAACAATCTTAAAGTGCAAAGCCTGGCATCAGGTGAAAAACATTCATCAAAATACTAAGCACCTAACCTACCCAAACGCAGCCAATGTAACATGTAATATCTTCTGTTTCATCAACAATGCAAACTTCTTTTATATTCTGTTTAGCATATTGTATTGAGATATAATTAATATTTTTTATTGTATAAGCCAATCTTATATCCGGGGAGTGTTCTTTGAATTATTCAAATTTAGACAAATTGACGTACATGCTTAATGTTATCAATTGGTTAAAATGACTACATTTCATAGTAGGGTTACAATGAATTACATTATCGTTCTGATATGTAATATATATAATATAGAAATAGAAAATTTAAGAAGTAGAAAATTATTATAAGTATCAAGTGCGCTAAACGACACTTAAACCACGAGATTGTTTAATGCGTTTAATGAATTATTTTTATTTTTATTTTTTTGCGTATATATTTTGCATCTATATATATATAAAAATGAATTGCTGTTCGTTAGTCTCGTTAAAACTCGAGAACGGCGGAACGGATTTATCTAATCTTGGTCTTGAATTATTCGTGGAGGTCTAGGGAAGGTTTGAAAGGTGAGGAAAATTTGAATAATTGCCGGGAAAATCCTCAAAACAGCTCTTTTCTATAGAACAAAATTTAACATTGAGATTCAATCATAGTTATAGTTAAATAGTTGAATTCGAGATGGCGCGCTGAAGTGCATTATTGACAAAACTTTATATAATTAATTTCTTTAAATTAAAATTGCTAATCTTATTGATAGAATTGACTCTTACTACGAGTATGTCTAGAACAAGAGAGTAAAAACGAATTACATTTTTATTAAACACAGCCAGAACGAAGTCGCGGGCAACAGCTAGTACTATATATAAAACACGGTTGGATGTATAATATCATCCATTGTCCTATACATTTTTGACACGTAAGTAAACAAAGAATTGGTAGACTCTAAAGTAGATCATGTTTGGAAGTTAACTAATTGGCTTAATTCCAGTGATTGAAAATTAATCTCTTTGTGGTACAATGATATTAAATAATAATACATTATTTATTTGATGCATTCAGTGTCATTTTATTAAACTAGAACATTAAAAGTACATTTAATTGTGAAAAGTAGGGGCATACTACAATATTCCAATATAAAATTCAGTTAAGTTAATATCTATACTTAAAATTTAATGCACAAATATAACACAAAAAGTGCCAAACACTTTGCGGCTGATGACAAACAGTGAGGCAAATACGCTAATAATGCAAAATATTTGTGATCATTTTAAATGATAATAATAATTAAGCCTTTGATACGTTGAACAAAGCAACACAATATTTCAAGCAAAAAAATACAAGTTGCAAGAAACGTGCCAATGCATAAAAACCAAAATGGCGCTTGTAAGATCTCCATGGTTAGTTTCTTTGGAAGGATTGCTTCCGGGCTGTTGTCCAGAAACATTAAAATTTCATGCATTTTATACTTTGCCGTGTACAAATCCCATTCCCAAATGATAAATAATCCCGCCTCTCTGCATCTCAAGATAAAATTATTTAATTCTGGAATTAAAGAACCATACGCACTGTTTCGTGCCATGATATGAGTAAAACCCGATCCAGTTCTTTCTTTCAACAGTTTATATTTCATTTGATAAACTTGGTCATACGCATATGATACTGAAAGTAAAATTAGTAGATAAATTATATTGACAGTTTACGATTTTGTACATACATCCTGTTCCAGTTACATATACTTGGGGACAAGGTCGAAAACCTTTCCTGATTTTGTTCGCAAGATACTGCTTGTGTTTTTCATATTTTTTATAATTTTCTACTACCTAATCAAATAAAAACAGTAATTTTTGTGCGTATAAATTAGATACACGAATTTACCACAGATAAATTTCCAATTTTATCAAATATGGTTACATCATCTGTGCTATAATTAAGTTTAAGTAAACCATGTTTTTCAATGTCGTCTTCTGTTTGAATTCCACGTTCATATCTTGGCTTCACCATCTGAGTAATAACACCAGATGAAAATAACGATGAATATAAAACTATTAATATTAATATCAACACCAGAATAACACGGCCACGAAGATGGCGGGGCATTTCAGAGGCTGTCAATGGTTGTAAGAAAAACAAACGCAAAACCGACCAAATTGGTGAGTTGTTATTTGATCGATTCAATGCCTTTTCCCAGCTTAAGTATACCAATACAAAGAGCGCAGAAACAAGTATTAGTGTCCATAGAGGTATTGCAAAGACTTGTATCAATTGAAGCCAATTATTGGCCAATCTAAAATTTGGATAAGAATTAGAATTTAGATAATATATATATAATACAGAAATCAGACATACTTTGGTTTCGGAACAGCGTATACAATTGAAAAAAAGATAGTCGGGTATGTTTGTGGAAAATAAACTTGATTTGAGGACCTGTGGGCTATATAAAACGCATTCTTTTCTAACCCCGCTTCGACCACATTTTCTTTTGACAAAGAAAATTTAAACTGAATGTTTAGATAAATTGTAAAGTAATACAAAATATAAGCTTCAGCTGATTTCAATGAATACCCTACTTCCTTTATTTTCAAAAATTTAAAGGGATAATACTCGCTTATATCAAGATTAATACAGGCATTAGGTTCATGTTTCCACCTATCATCGAAGAATGCCTCGACACCAACGGTACCCGGTTCATTCGTAAATCTATTTTCTACCATCTTCCAGCGATTCAGTAGAACATGTTTCGTTTTATCAAGGTTCGCGAAACCATAAACGTTGAAGGAATCTGGGTATGGAAGTATGACAATTACGTGGATTCCCAAGTCACCATTTAAAGCAGAATACAGCTCCATGCTGGTCTTATACAGGAGAACAACGATTACTTTCATATCGGCATTTCTTTGCCGGACCATGCAGGTTCTGAATGGATTAAAGTTGGTCATCATGAACATGAACGGATTTTCTAGTATGTACTGACGGCAACCATGTTGGCATTGAAAATCATTTAACACTACTGGAAACGATTGTGATAATGGCCAAACTTTGATGTCATTGGTTTGAAAAAACGGCTTGTAATATGCAATGCACAGATCATTCTGGAAATGAACAGAAGCTATTGTACTGATGAGTAAATTTAGAGACAATTCGATACTCTTAGGTAACATTCTCGTCAATGGTTCAGAACTGTATGAAGCTGTTTAACAAAACTCTGTTTTAATATATCGAATTGAGAACTATGTAATGCAGTCATTTTACCGAATTGGTGACTTTAAGTATATTGGTCAATTTGTCCAAATGTGAAGAACTCAAGGAGCACTCTTCGGATATTAGATTGGCTAAAGCTAAAACGAATAACAATCTTAAAGTGGAATGCCTGACAACAGATGAAAAACATTCATCAAAATGCTAAGCACCTAACCTGACCCCACACCTGACTTTATTATTATTACCATTATTCATATAATTTAATAAGAAAATATTTATACTCAATAACAACACCATTAATAATTGTCCCATACAAATCTTACACCAAACTCTAAAAATCTAATGTGGTACACGTTAGATGTTCGCCAAGCCAATGTAGCATGTAATATCTTCTGTTACATCCATAATGCGAACTTCTTCATTGGCAGGAATGAATAAGACGGTGCCAGGCGAGCACACAATGGAATCATGTGTGTGTCCATATCCTTTAACGAAAAGCGCAATACTCGCTACTGTCCTTATGACTAAAGTAACCGTTTTTCCCTTAGGTATCTAAACAAATAAATTAAATTAAGCAAATAAGCTATTTATCAATTTCCATTAACTTACTTCTGTTACTGCTACCGCAAAATCATTCACAGGCGGCCTGAAAAGCTTGGTAAATTCATTCTCCTTGATTGGTTGAAACAATTTCGACTTTTGCGGTGCTCCATTGTAGTTCAAGATGGAACAGAGTGTCTCGACATCTTTGAACTTCGGAGTCAAACCAGCACGTATTACATTATCCGATGATGCCATACATTCAATACAATCTATAATTTAAGTATGGTGATATACTTATTAAGAAACAATAGAATAAAAATCAAAATTTCAGTTGGTACCTCCTTCAATATAAGCGTGAATCTCATTTGCGCCCAAAAATATCGCTTGCCCCGGCGACAAATTGATCACATTCAAAAATATTGGTCCAAAGCAACCTACATCATCCGGAAATTGTTGATAAAGCTTAATGATCAATGTGCACAAGTTGGCTTGGACGGCACTCAAATTTTGCGTCGATTTAAGTCTGTGCGCAAATGCAGTGAGTGCTTTGCGAATTTCAAGTTCAGAACTTATCATCAAATTCCTAAAGCACTGAGGAATAATGATGTTTGCAGTTTGTTGGTCCACCAATCCCAGGAATGTCAAGTAAGCATCTTTGCCAATAACATCTTGAATTTCAAATATTTCTAAAAGCAAATTCATACATTACTCTCATAAGTTATTAATTTTTATAAATTAATATGCTACCTTTTAAATTGTTCTGGATTTCCTCAAAAGGTCGAAATCCAATCATGGCTTGAAAATTAGTTAAAGCTATGGCAAGCTCTGGCTTATGATTTGGATCTTTATATAATTCTGGATGTGTTTTGTGCAGTTTTTTGGCACGATCTATATCAGGATGCACCTGTATGCTGAGTGCTTTGCGAACACTGAGGACTTTAAAAAGGAATGGCAATTTTAACCCAAATGTCATGATACTTTTATCACCCAGGTATTTTGGGTAGTTTACCAGCACAGTGCTTAACGCTGTACCAGATGATTTGATATAAGAAGGACAATTTGGGTGGGTGCCCATCCACAATTCAGCATATGGTTTGTTTTCATCAATTGAAACAGTTCCATCATTTTTAATCAATCTGGCAACTTCACTATTGCTGCCAATCTTACCCCATGCATAGTTCATAACACCTACTCGCAGTTCCATTATGGTTGGATACACGTCCTAAAATAAATCAGAATATTTTAATAATGCAAATGAACAATTAAACATCAATGTTTTACCATGATTTATACTGAAATGGTACTACTTTTGTGTGTTCAACTATTTTTAAAAAGTATACATTCACAAATTATATACTACAACCAGATTTGCACTTGAAAGTTGGAAACAGAGGTTACGTTCACTAATGGAAGGTCAATCAGGTCACATAAACGCACGAAATCAAATGAAAAACTACCTAATAATCTAAATAAAGTTCTTCAAATTTTGAATATTAAATTAGTAATACTTGCTTTAGGTGTAATTGGTTTGTACGATTTTCGTCCCGGTGATGAAGATGGTATTTTAATTGGTGGTTTGCGGCTGGAACTTGATGGGATAGACATGAGGAATCGAAATATTTCAACATTAATTTGACGAAAACGAGAACAGTAGATAAGAAAATGCTGAGGTTTTAACTGATGACGTCCAAGTAACACCATACTTTAATAGCCATTTGATCTAAGTTATTATTGAGTGCATTTGCTACAAAAATTTTGAATTTTGGTCACAGCTGCTTAAATTATGCCTAAATTCCAACTAATGTCATTTGATTTGACTTTGACTGATGAAAACCGTTGGCGCTTGAAAGCAGTGACATTGGCGTTGTTATAATTAAGATTTTTTAGTATTTTCTTGTCTCAACGCTGAATTTATGCAACAAAATATCAACGGACCTTAAATATTGTGCTGATGCATCGATAATTCAATATTGTAAGTTGCGTTTTCCTTCGTATTTTACTCATTTGTCATTTTCCAGATGTAACCTTAAGTTGCAAACAAAGTCTTCTAAAATTCTTCTGAAATCATGGAAAAAGGTAATTTTACAAAGAATATACATCATTATCATCGGATATCAAGAAGTAATTGACTCAATATTCATCTCTACTCCAACACAAATGAATGTTGTGTAAAACAAACACGAGGTCGAAGGTTTCCCACATTATGACAAAAAATCGTGTTAATGTAATGTCGTCCGATTGGTATGCATCGGCGCATCGATCACGCTTCGATCACGATCACCATCGCTTAATATCTTAATTAATGCGTGTTGCTCATTATGCTCGTAATCGGCGCGGCGCTTCGAGTCTGTTTTCTCCGCCAAACTGTGTCGCCATCAACACGCGCCGCTCACATTTATTTGGTCTTCAATTTCTTTTTTAGATTTATAACCTCATCGACCATGGTTCACAGATGTTAATTGTACACTATGGAATCTTACCAGCATTTTCACAGATAACGATTAACACAATTAACATTTTTTAAAATATCGCAATGCAGAAATACAACGGCTACAATGCCAACAATTTACAACAACATTAATAATACAAAACGTGAATGTTGTCTGAGGTTCTGGTCAATGAACGATCTCCATAAAGACGTATTGTTAACATGACAATTTATTCCTATGCATGTTACAAAGTTGTCATTAATCAAGATGCAATGCCATCAGTTACATGACACTGTGTTTAGTATGTTTATAATCGCATCAAATCAAATTTGTTTGTTTTGATTTGTTGTAATCGGTAAAAACTGCGGTGTAAAATTTGGAACGTGCTCGGGTCGGCCATTTTGTCGCGTGACATCCACTGGGTCAAGCAAAATTGCGATAGAGGTTGACCTGAAATGTATTTACACGAATTTGTTAAAGTATTCTACAAAAATCTCAAGTATTTCGATTCCAGGGGGTTATAAATTATTACTAACTCATTTGATGGTGCTAAATATAAATTAAATGTTTGAATGGTTGTAATAGTTGCACGCGGATGTCATTTAAAGTAAGTGCCAATAAATGAGGCCTAAAATAAATAGGGAACGAAAAAAATGATGGTTTGAAAACAACTTTTTCGTTTTCTATTTTTAGTTGGCGCCGATTAATGAATATATTAAGATCATGAGATTTTTGCAACGTTTGGAAACTGCTAAAAATGCTATTTGTTAATGTTTAGAAGACCCGTTTAACTTAAGCCGCTTAGAAACCTCGTCGGAATTTCTCCTACACGTAAGAAGCGCACAAATTAGTAGATATAGGCAAATATGCGTAAAACTTGTAAAAGCAAGAAAAAGCGGTAAGTCAAAAAACCGCCGTTCGTTGTCAATGTTTATGCGCCGGTTTTGTCCAAGAGCAAGCTCGTGGTGGTCGCGTGCACGCAAAAAAACGCTTAAGCATTCACCATTCGAATATTTAACAGACTTGGACTCAATTTTAACTTTTGAACCATCATTATTACCAAGTGCAAAATGTACGACACTTAAATCCGACCCTGTTTACTCTTCTACAAGTTGCGGTCGCCGGTGATCGTCGTAAAAGCAAGAAATTATATAAACAGAAACGGCCATTCGCGTACTTGCGGCGTGCATATGACATTTTATGTGCGTTTAAGCAGCCCGAAGGTAAAATATTAATTATGTCGGCTGGTTGCATCTTTTTTGCGTGCAGGCGGACAGAAATGTTTCGTCTCACCAACACGCGCGCGCTTTAATTTATACATGCCGCAACTTATGGAATGGTTTAATTATAAAAAATAAAAGAGATTGCGTCTGCGGTAACGTCAGAGCGATAAACATGTTAACGTGTTTTACATGCAATTATTGGTAATATTTAGCTGCATTAACATCAACAGTAATTAAAACAAATCGTAAATGAAGGAGAGCAGTACGTAAATGATATGTATACGTAAATATATAGTTTATTGAGAGAATAAACTATTATCGAACGTAGGGCACACCATTTTTAATATTAATTAATAATGAGATTAGATCAGGTAATTTGTTAAAATATTTTAATGTAAAATTAGCGAATTTTTTCACTTTCAGCTTTAAAACGCTTTTTTACGGTTTTGAGACATAAAAAGTGGTACTTTAAACACGGGATTGCAAAGCCGTGTTTAAAGTACTTTAGTCACGGGGTGGATAAAAACTCCAGTTTAGCCACTTAATACCTAATATACTGAGGTTAATTCAAGTAAATTATAAAAATATTCAAATTTAAAATAAACAAATTTGCTTTTAAGACATATTACTACTACAAATAAAATAAAATAATAAAAATTCATAAACAATGATTAATAGTTTAATTGGAAGAAGGCATGTACAGTAACTTTAAATTGTATTGGCTGGCAAATATCACAATTACCGAATATCAGCCGCGCGACAAGAAAGAAGAAAACAACATCTTATCGATTTAAAAGACGTATGACTCTGCCCAATTAATAGATCCCGACCAATAATTATTTATTGTGTCGGTGCATCCGCTCGTGCTGATTGCACCCAAGAGTGTTTCCCAATATTTTATTTTATTTTTCGTCAACACACCGATAACTATGATAACAATTCAACTTAATGAGCGCATCTTCAAAAACACCCGTAGTAAACAAATGCATGACATTGAGAATGTCAATAATGATAAGTGCAATATAATGATTCAGATTTTAATATGCATCTTTTTATATTATACACTTACAAAATACTTACTAAAGTATTTATAGTGTCCTAGCTTTATCCCGTGGCTTCGCTCGCGTTGAATCAATCAAATAAATATTAGAAATCAATGAAGTTGCTTCCGTACGCGTCTGTAGTCACAGAAGAAGTAACATTGAAGTAGAATGGCGGGAAGTTTAAAATGGCTGAAAGTATAGTCTATGGAAGTATAGTGTAGTCAATTGGATTTGATGTTGACGTAGCTGTCGGTAATACAGTGTGATAATACAGTGTGATGGTACTATAGTACTTAGGTTTGAGCTTAATTGCTGGAATGCTAGATGGCGTTAAAGTAGTCAAATAGCCAGATGCAGAGGTATTATTGGCTAAAATTTCAATTTCTTTTTATTCTTATTTTAAAAAATAATTTTTTTATTAAAAGTAGCTCATAACCACATTCAAATTCACTAAGAATATATGTGTACAAATTGTCATGATCGGTTAAGTAGTTTTTGCGTAAAAGTGTAACAAACATCAGGACATTTATAATATTAGTAGGGATTAGTTAGAGAAGTGCTTATTGTATCAGTACTAAATACTTAACTGTTCACATCGGTTTAGGAGTTAGTTTTGTACCCTAACAGCGAACTTCGCTCTTCTGATGAGAACGTCAAAACAATTAACGCTGCATGTATTTAAACGTTTAACCGAGTAGTAAACGCGTTGCAAATCGATTGCCATTAGCGTTCATTAATACGGTTTAATGTTCTGCAATAGGACGGAATTATAACTGTAATTATCGTCAATGTGCTAAAGCGAAGCTGGACGTCGATGATTTTTGCACATAACGCCGGTTCTCATGCGGTGAACGTTTAGATTACGTTCAAATCACTTCAAGAAGAAGTTAGAAGTATTTAAACACAGTCAATACAAACAAAATATGCAGAATTTATTATACCCTGTATAAACATTTTGGTTTTTGCTGTGTGAATGCAGCATAAATAATTATTGTGTCTTTGGAGCAAACAGTGGATTGTAAATCATTAAATGCACCGCTGGTGTTTGGAAATGTATGAATGCAAAACGCATTTATAATCAGAATGTTGACTGTGTTCAATATTGAATATAATAACTTTCAAATTCAATCCGTGAATGTGTATGAAGTTGTTCGCTTGTTCGCTTCACCATCACGCTGTATTAATTATTCCTGCTAAGCTTCCCACATGTCCGCGTTTATAGTATACACGCACGGGCATAAATTACAGCGGAAATTAAGATATGCCGTTCGTTCAAAAGCGATGAAAAACGATTCGTGTTTTCTACGCGGATTCGTTTTGCAATTTGCAAATGTCGCTTTCGGTGGTGATGATCGATGTGCATCGCTGTGAGTAATGCTAATGCGTGAAGGAAATTGTGAAAAATAAAAATTTGGAAATTAATTGACAACACATTTAAATTAAAAATAAAATACAGAAAATTATTATTGTTTTAATAATGATTATTTTTATTTAGTGGGATATGAGGCCTCCGTGGCGCAATCGGCAGCGCGTTCGGCTGTTAACCGAAAGGTCGGTGGTTCGATCCCACCCGGGGGCGTCTAATTTTTTTATATTTATAATAATATATAATCTAAAACATTTTATCAACGCGTGCTTGTCACACGATTTATATAATTTGTTCCCTCGCAACAGAAATCAAATTCTAGTCAAAATAGATTTATCTGTATAATACCATTTGCCACAACAACAACTTCTAATTCTATTATTTTCTAAGTTGAATACGTAATCCATGGTAGTAATTTATAAAATATATTTATTAATATAATTTGTGATTTTCTTGGATTTTACAGTTTTGTTGTTTTGTTGTTTTGTCTGATGATGCCCCCAGGGCGAAACATGTAAAACTCGCAAACAAAACTGTAAAATCCAAGAAAATCACAAATTATATTAATAAATATATTTTATAAAATAACTTCTAATTCCTTGTCATATGATTTGTAGCGTAAAATAAGTAAGTCACTTTTGATTTATTTATACACAGCTCTCGAAATGTATTAACCCATCGAGTGGGTTGTAGGTGTGAGTAATAATTCATGCGCTTGCACCTGAAGAATTGATTAAAATTTATTGCAGCGCGAAATATTTTTATCAGCAAAATATCATTAAAATACTTTGCATGGAAATAAGTTAACAGAGTTGCATTTAGTAAATTTTAGTAATTTTGTGTTGTACAGCAAGAACACTTAATATTGATGCGTAGGTTGTGCTTCTGGCTGTTGATGTTGCTCGGAAGAGGTCGAGAAGCGCGTGCGGCGTCGAGCGATGTTGGTGGTAAAGAGGCCGAGTCGCTCAGCATCCCTGCTGAGCACCCTCAGCGCGGTCTGGTCGGCGGTGTTCAGTCGGCTCTGAGACGCGGCCTCTTCCGCTGGGGGTTGTAGGTCGCGGATGTTGTGGGCGTTCCGGACTTCGCCGCGCGCCGGACAAGGGCGACTTCATCTCCGAAGCAGGTCCGTACGTAGAACCCTTCCAATTGGCTTCTTGCGTGGACGGAGGCTTGCCACGACGTTGTTTCTCTAACGAGGCCCAGTTCGTAAGTCCGGGACCTAGGGACCGAGAACTACGAAGGGCCGCTATACGTGGTCGTAAGCTATGGCGCGTGGATGGTGTGGGGAACGCGTCGCTTCACAAGGTCGCCAACTTGAAACGCACTGTCTCGTGCCCTGGTTGTCGATCCGTCGTCCCTCTTTTCTTCGTTCGACCTCTGGGTCGCATCGGCGTACAATTCTACCGGCACATTGTCGCAGGCAGCATCGGATGGCTCAGCGAACTGCAGGAAGCGCGGGGAGTAGCCGGTAATCCCATGCGGTGTTCGGTTATGGTTGTCCACCACTTGAGAAAGAAGCGTTGACCATCTTTGGCTTGGGTGATCAACTACTTCCAGGCGTAGGCCTCGCGCAATCAGGTCGTTCGCCTTCTCGCAGAGGCCATTGGCCTGCGGATGGTAGGGCGACGTGGTGACGTGACGCACTCCGTGAGCTTCCAGGAAACGCCGGAACGCGTTTGCCGTGAAGTTGGTGCCCCTGTCCGAGATCAGTCGTTCCGGGGGGCCTACGGCGGTGAACAGCTGGCTCAGTAACCCTATAACAGTCGCAGTGGTGTTTTTAGGTGTGGGAAATGCCCAAACGTACCTTGAGTGATGATCCACTACCACCTGGATATACTTCGCCTTGGTGCGTGCAGCTGCAGACCCCATGACGATGGTGTCGATCGCCCATATGACCCCTGGACCCGGCGGCGAAGCGATCGGCTGAAGGAGGCCGAGTGGTCGACGGTTAGCAGGCTTCACCAGCTGGCACGCCGTGCACCCACGAACGTACGCCTTGATGTGACCGGCGGCCTGTACCACCAATAGTGCCTAAGAGGCGTTGTGTCCTCAACACGCCAGGATGTCCGTGCTCGTCGTGGTAGTGTCGGAGAACCTCGACGCGGAGTGGTACGAATATTCGAATCAGGCCTCGATGGCGATGAATCAAAAGGCCATCCTGCGTTCGTTGGCAGCCTGGGGGTGGATCGTCCAGCAAGTTTTGCTCGCGTCGCAAGACGTCATCATCGATGAGGAGCGACACCGGCTCTCGTGAGAGAGCGTCAGCTACCTCATTAAGCCGTCCGGGTCGATGATGAATGGTGTAGTGGTACACCGACAAGCGGATCGACCAGCGGTACAGCTTGCTCGAGGGGTTCTTCATGTTGAAGAGCCACTGCAGCGCCGAATGGTCCGAGTAGATGTCCACATGCTTGCCGTGCACGTAGACATGGAAGTGCTCCATCGCACTTAGGACCGCCAGGCACTCGAGCTCGCTATTCGGGGACCACCAAGAATATGTGTACAAATTTTCATGATGATCGGTTAAGTAGTTTTTGCGTGAAAGTGTAACAAACATCTGGACTTTCGCATTTATAATATTAGTAGGGATTTCACAGGTGGCGTCATATTAAACCACGTTTGAAGTGTATGCAACCAATCTTGCATTAGCAAACCATGTTTTTATTATCACGTGATGCTCGCATAAATATTAAAACAAATTCGGTTTCATATGCTACATTAATTAATTGAATGTTTATGTTTCATTTATCTCGCAAAAGAAGCAACACAAAAGTGCCATCAGCTCAATTAAAGTTCATAATTTATACGCGTACATGCGACAAACAGCACGAACTAGTCCAATAAATAATTGATATACTAATGTTGAACCCAATGTTTTGAATTTCGGCAGTCTGCCCACTTGTTTATCACACACAATAATAGCATCTCCAGTTGAGTGAACAAAGTACAACCAAAAAATAATAAAAAACAATTTACAATTCAATATTTTTATTTTGATAAGCAATAACATTTCAATAACTTTCAATTATATTATAATGCATTCCAATTATTTCGAAAGTCAGCTTCAATCAGCTGAAAATATTTTGATACACATGAACTTGAATTATGCAGTAGGTAATTATGAAATATTTTTTGTAAAATAAAAGAACAAAATAACCAGCAATAAAAACGTTAAGAACGCTGTAAACAACGATAAGTCTCGAAAATTACGTTTTAAAATTAAGAGCGTTATTTATTGTCGTCTGCGCTCGGCGCGCATTTGTTTAAGTGGCTTAAATAAATTAATTCGTTACTCTTTACACTTGTTCTCCCGAGATAAGAACACAAACAATTTTTTGCGATGAGCACAATGCTACAAACCATTAAAAATCAAAGCTAAAATACTTCAAACACATCCTGAAACTTGTACACAATAATACATTAAGTATCAAGTGGTTAAACAGTAGTTTTCGTACTTTAGTCACGGCCGTGTTTAAAGTAGTATTTTTGTATCTAAAAACCGTGGAAAAACTCACGCTTTAAAAGTGCAAGTAGAAAAAATAATAAAGAATATTTTATTGTCATATTAAGTGCAGCTTATTTGATGAGACGAGAGATAAAAGTTTAAATAATAACCGTACAATTGACGCCTCCGTAATCACGATTATTTAACCCCGATTGGTGCATAAATATGAAATGATTGCGATGTAGATAAAGTAAATGATGTAAATATTCGTCTACTATTAGTAAGCTGAGTAAATAACACATCAATCCGAAATCGCTTGCATCATATTTACACGTGATTAAAACAAACATAATCAATTTGAAAACAAAGTTGTATTTATGTGCAGAAAATGAAAGTTAGCGAACTTTACCGAAAGTTACGTTTGTGATCTAATGCACAAGTCGAAAATACACGATTTTATGAATTTGTCACGGTGATAATGACGATGTTTACAACATTTTGTGATAAGAACCGTGCACGTAAGCACGTGCTCTACGCGAAAATAATGCGTTGTACATTCGAGTGCTTTTGGCGAGACGTGAGACAGACAATTGTGTCATATTAATACATATTTCACATATAACCCTGACAGGAATTAAAATTTTTACTTTTTTTTATTAAATAATCAAGAAAATACCTGAAAATACTCCAAAATTAATTTTTATTTATTAATACTGAAGAGATCATGTTATGATAACGTGAAGAAAATATTAGAAGTGATTTATTTTGATTGCAGATCAAAAGTATTCTTAAGTCACTTACGCAGCCCGTGCGAGACACATGCGTGGACGACTTACGATCGCGTTTTGCCCCCACCACTACCCGGTTCTGATCGGGGCGGATCACTTGAATGTTCCGGAGGTCCTCGGCGCGACACTCGCACGCAGGTCGTACTCCGAGTCGTGCGCGTCTGCGTGTTAGCGGACATTAAATGAGTTGAAGTCACATTCATTCGATGCGCGAGGTCGTATCAATCGGGCATGTGGACTCACGTGGATCTATCAATTCAATTAAACTTCAGTGCCACACAAACGAAGGACTCATCCATTGAGTAGTACCATGAGAGATTAAATCTGAGCGCAAATAAATATATAAAATAAAATTTAAAAATTTAAAAAAAATCAAGTTTAAAGAAAAGACTCGAATCTAGTCAGGAAAGGCTTCTAAAAATTAATTAAGTGAATAAATTAGTGTTTATTATTAATATTCAACTAAACAAACGTCAATCACAACTGGTAAGCATAATAAATATAAATTTTTTCTTCGTTTATCACAATTATATAGAATATAGAATATTATTATTTATTATTTACACAACGGAGTGCGTTTCTATTTATAACACTCTTCAACACTCTCTATTTGTATCGCTAATTGATGGCTGTCATTAAACCGTTGCAATACAATAATAGCACTGTTAATTGTCATTTGATAAATTTATCTTAAAGCGAATCTAACTGGTTCTTTCATTACGGTCACTTCAATGACACTGCAACTTTTCCTCATTTTGCACCTCTAATGATTATAATTAAAGCATATCTCGTGCATGTGTAAATGAGTTACGAGTTCCAATCGAATCCAAACGATTGTCGGTTGTATCGTACACGTTTTTCGCATTCAAGTCAACGCAGACGCTGGCAGAGAGAGAGTTGTCCGAATGTATTTAATGAACATATATGCACACAAGCCGGCGACTGGTGTGTGACAATGATCAGGCAACCGGCTCATGATATCTCGAAATAAACTGGTCGTTAAGCGCCGTTTATACCATGTAGATTTAATAAATCTGAACAATCTGTGTGTGTGTCTATGCGTATCAAATTAAATTGGTTTATAAATATTTATATAACTTTTAGTGGCGCTAGTCTTTTCGAGATTATTCAACAATGCGACTATTAGACGACACAGAAAGATATTAAACGTACATATTTACCCGATTAAAAACTATACTTGGATGAGTCGATGAGAAAAATTAAACTCATCGTGTTTGCATAAATATAGAGTAGCGATGATACGAGTAGTGTCACATATCGAATGACTAACTTTGCATAGAAATGGTTGAATTATTCAAAAATATTGATGAATAACAGTTTTATAAATTGCTACAAATTATCCAGAACATGCTATGACTAGACTAGATCAACATTAAATTTATAGAGCATCTTACATCAAATGTATTTTCAGCGCTTGTTTATTTTACTAACCGGAATTTTCGCGCAGGAATTCAAAATAGAACTGTTTCTACGAGAAAACACGCATGTGAATATTTATTTGCATATTCCATTTCTAAATTCTCATTGTTTCAACGGAATAAATTATTTATGTGATAAGAATATGAAATATGCGTCAAAATTGCACATAACTCATGATTTATTTATTGCTTTTGACAAAAGCATTAAAATACTGTTTTTGGAGAATCTATATATGTATATAAAAATGAATTGCTGTTCGTTAGTCTCGCTAAAACTCGAGAACGGCTGAACGGATTTATCTTATCTTGGTCTTGAATTATTCGTGGAGGTCTAGGGAAGGTTTAAAAGGTGAGAAAAATTCGAATAATTGCCGGGAAAATCCTCAAAACAGCTCTTTTCTAGAGAATAAAATTTGACATTGAGATTCAATCATAGTTATAGTTAAATAGTTGAATTCGAGATGGCGCGCTAAAGTGCATTATTGACAAAACTTTATATGCATAATTTCTTTAAATTAAAATTGCTAATCTTATTGATAGAATTGACTCTTACTACGAGTATGTCTAGAACAAGAGAGTAAAAACGATATATATATAGATAAATATATTTATCTTTGCCTTGGTTGATTCATTAAAACCCAAATTAGTAGCCGAGGTGATCGAATTTATATCCACACGCATGTCTCTGTACAGTCTGCGTACTTGCAAGACAAGATATCAATAAAAATCCCCGTCGCTGAAGAGAACGATCTTCTTTACGACACGCCGATATGCAAGCGGAGCTTGTTCACCAACGTGTACGTAACGAGCGACAAGCAACAAGCAACGATCCTAAACATGTGCGTGGGCTTATTGAAATGTACTGCATGCCAAACGGGCACACCACGACCATCACACATGATATACGCCAATTGCTCCATCGAACACGCCACGGTTTATATAGATAATGATAAAATTTAATATTTCCTTGTGTGGTGTCTCCTCGCGCCGCATTGCGTTGAGACAATGCGCAAGTCGACAACAATCTGTTTTACTCTACAATGTACATATTGGTTTTTAGTAAATCGTAAACAAGACGCGAAATGCACGCCGAGGTGTTGTGTTACCTCTGCGGTGTAATGAAGCAACATGTATGTGTACCGCATGTGTTGCTAGACGGCGAAATCTCGAGTTGATTCATGGTATTTATAACAAGTCGGAAGATAACGATTTCTAAACCCACGCAACCAGGCGTGTAGTGCAAGTAGGCAGAGCAGAGGAAAATGGGTAGAAACTCGCGGAATTTATTTTATTGATACAAAAACTGATAACGCGGACAGGAAACGAAAGGTTGGCATAGGAATAAACAAAATAGTGATATACTTTCAACCGCTAGATGGCAGTATGTTGACGAATCGTAAAAGTAAGCAAATTTATTTTTTACTAGCTGTTGCCCGCGACTTCGTTCCGGCAGTGTTTAATAAAAATGTAATTCGTTTTTACTCTCTTGTTCTAGACATACTCGTAGTAATAGTCAATTCTATCAATAAGATTAGCAATTTTAATTTAAAGAAATTATGCATATAAAGTTTTGTCAATAATGCACTTCAGCACGCCATCTCGAATTCAACTATTTAACTATAACTATGATTGAATCTCAATGTCAAATTTTATTCTATAGAAAAGAGCTGTTTTGAGGATTTTCCCGGCAATTATTCGAATTTTTCTCACCTTTTAAACCCTCCCTAGACCTCCACGAATAATTCAAGACCAAGATAAGATAAATCCGTTCAGCCGTTCTCGAGTTTTAGCGAGACTAACGAACAGCAATTCATTTATATATATATATATAGATTCATAAAAATTAATTATACGCGGATATAAATTGCAAATAATTAAAAGTAACCAATGTTACCGAAAGTAAACCAATAGGAAGTATGAATATATCGCAGATAACTCTTATTCATCTCCTTCAAAACTCCTCGCATGAGGTTTGTGTTACAAGGATACTTCTAGACGACTTGTTGGCCAACTCTATTACGTATCGTTCGATTGCTCGTTGGCCAAGAACTAAATTCGACGTCTTTACCAACGCACATTACATCCGACTGATCGCTGAGAGTTAATAGTTAATAGACTTATCGTTCTAGTTCTATTTCAAGACTAGAGGTCATGGTGGCGGTTTATTTATTATCAATTGAAATTTACGCAATTGCTGACTAAAAATAATTATGTTTAACCATATTAACCTACGAGAACCTATATAAATTGCAAAGGTGACTTTTAATAAAAATAAAAATAAAACGCATTACAACAAAAAGCAGTTGTTTGAATAAGTTATGAGTAGTCGTCTGCGGTATTGTTTATATACTCATATATTTTTAACTTTATTTTTGTTGAACTTGAAAGCAAGTGGATAAGCAAGATGTCGACATCTTGCAACCTTGAATGCACTGATAAAATAAAAATTATGTTAGTGCTTTTATTTTTTATAATTTTTTATTAATAAATTAATAAAATAAATTGTTTTCTAGTAGAAAAAAAGGTGTGAACGCAATTTTAGATTCTGATCTAAGTTAAAAGTTTAAAATGCAATTCTTATCATTAGTGATAATGTGTATCATCATGTAATAAAACCCAAGCCCCCCAAAACTGGCAAATAATATTATACTGAGGTAATATAGATAAAATCATTGATAGGATAATCTATGCCTATTATTATCAACATTCTACAAATCACAAATCATACAAACAAACATTTTGTAGTGGTCATGATTTTTAGACGACGTTTCAAGTTCAAAGGTACAAATGTTCATTAAACTCAGTTTGTATTTCTAGAAATATTTATTTCTGTTTAAGATACAAGCGCTGACATTAAGTAGTTTGACTCGGCGCCAATAATCTAAATTTAACCGTGTGTTTCTCTCTTTGCAGTTACTAATGTGCTCAATAGTGATGCCCGCGGATTACGAGATGTTGGTCTCGCATAGTCCGCCCATCTTCTCGCACAGTCCACCATCGCACGGCTTCCTGAATCGTTGCGACTCCTACCCGCGAATGACACGTTTCTACAAATCACCCAGCCGTGCTTCCCCGCCGAAAGCGGACACACCTACACGTCCGATATTAATCGTGCGTCCGGAATGTTCCTCTTCAGATGATAGCAATGATGATGACCCTGTTAGCCCCACGCGGCTTAAAAAGAAGGTGGTGTTTGCAGATGATCGCGGTATGTCACTCACACAAGTACGTGTGATGACAGAACCATCAAATGTCCCTCCAGTGTGGAGCTTCCGGTTTCTGAGTCAAGTCACCAAGGGAATTCAAGCTGAACCACTCGCGCATGAAGAACCCTGGGAGCTTACCTTCTCCCAACCTGCTTCGGATTATGTCGCGTTCAGGAAGCGCCTGGATGCTGATAAAGTCACCCTTGAGAATGTCATTGTCAAGGAATCAGAGGAACTTGTTGTGGGAACTGTAAAAGTCTGTAATATTGCGTTTGAGAAGGAAGTTTCTCTTCGTACTACAGATGACGATTGGAAAACACATAAAGATATCCAATGTACCTACATGCCTGGAATGGCTTCCTCGTCAGCTTACGCCCTCTATGATACCTTCTCGTTCAAATTTCCTTTACCCACAGATTCGCGACGCCTTGAATTCTGTGTGCTTTATACTTGCAACAATCAAGAATACTGGGATAATAATTTCGGTGGGAATTACAAAATCGTCAAGAACAAAGTCACCTCACGTCACCTCGCCAGCGAACCACAGATCATCCCTACAAGCAAAACACGTGACATCTTCAACACCAAAGTGGATTCATGGAGTGAGTTCGCCAGCTGGAATCATTTGGATGTGAGCAGTCCGTATTGGTAAACTCGCTGCTCATTGCGGAAACGATTGGACTTTTGATCTGTGATAAAACAAAAAATTTACACGCTGGCGGCGGTGTCATGAGATCCGAGATAATAAAAAAAAATTCGTGATAATTCTTCTGAAACGTGCCAATAATAAATACGCAAGCCGAGGCGAAATTTTATTCTATATCTATGTATGTCAGTTAGTATCTAGAGTTGGTGTACTTATAAGACTGATGTATGAATTTGCAAACAAAAAGATTGATTACGTAAATTTAGTTATTTATCAACATTCATAATACAAGTTATGTTTATCTGCTAGATGAATGTTTGTAGTTTTAAAGCAGAACACGACTAGGGTCGAGAGGACGTATGTGTTCCTGTTTATGATTTTAATGAATTAATTTAAGAGTGTTTTTAATGGTGATGTGCAAATATTACACTGGCGTGCTTCCAGTCATGTTATACAGTTCCTTTTATCAGCTAAATGTTTTTCTTTTTATAAATACGTACACGCATAGCATGCATGTGAGAAAGAAGCAATTGTAGAATATGCTATCGTGTTTTTAATGATACAAATCAGACGAGATTTGAATATTAAATCTTGCAATGAACCGACTGGAACAAGTTGAAGATGAAAGTACAGCGGAGGACTGCTATAAAATAATAAAAATACAGCTTATGTCTTTCTATCTGAAGAGATGAGATTGAGAAAGGCTTGTAAAACGAGATGTTTCGTTGTAGATGCATCTTGCTTCTCGTTGCAGGAGGCTATAAATGATGTACAATTTCAAAAGCTGTAAAATTTAAGTTGTAGATATGTGAAATGTGCCGATAGTCGAGGAAGAAACTAGCAGCTAAGTTTGATTCAAAGACAGCAAGATGACAACTTAATGTTGTCGGGTTTTATTGAATACGTTTCTTCTTGATTTTTTGTTAATAAAGTTTTTAATTATGAAATTTGATGTAATTAAAGCATCAGTTCATTTACGTGTGAACTAATTACATGTCTGTTACTAGGCAGGTACAAATTTTTATCTGGGGTATGCTAATCTTGGCTGGTAAGTACCAAAAACACAGTTCATTTGCATCCAAATGGAGTTTCAATTGTAAAAACAAGTTGAACACTTAATTCAAGTCTAAACTCAAAGATTAAATTCGATAATCAATTCATTTTTTATTGAGAGCTTTATAATTTATTCAGAAATCATTTTATTTCTAATGTTGAATCATCTAAAATATTTTTCTTAAAATTTTAAGCCGCATTCCTACAATTTTCATCTTTCGATGTTGAATATTTGCACATGTTTAGCCTATGCACTTGGCATGTTGCGATAATATTTAGGCATTGCTCACACACAGTCTTTGAACTTTAAACATAGTGCAAAATAATTCGCATGTTTTGCATACCGTTCTTACCTATACAAGTTGTGTACATCAAGTACCCTTACGGATCTTTCAGTTTTCTGGTGTCTACCGAATGATAAAGTGATAATGAGATGCAACATTGATGGATGATGTTATGCTTACATGCAGTCAATCATCTGCAGCTATAAATAGTACGTAATAAACGTGTAGTAGAACATCATGTTCTTATCATGCCACAAAAATATTTTAAAAGCTTAGCTTGAGAGTCACAGACCTCGAAGTTAATCATCGACTGCATACTTCTTGCCTTTTCTTGGCTCTAACTTGTCTGTTGGGTGGTTCTCGTGTCGAATTTGAATGATCACGTGAAAGTCACGTGGAGCAGGTCAAGTCACCGATAGGCCGTTGAAGACGGTTGCTTTTATGTTCTTTCACTTCATTCAAGAATGCTCCCGGCTAGGCACTCGCTGTGCTCACCGATAGGAAAATAGAGATTTGGTTGGTCCCTCTGGAGGTATAAAAAAAGATTTTAAGTCTAGGCGATCACGTGCTTAGAGCGTGATCAACCAGATTCAATCTCTCAAAGAATCTCATGCGGTTTAGTTCAATAGAAAAAAAATGAATTGAAAGCCCTTTAAAATATTCAAAATTAATAATTCCGAACTGCTTCCCAGTAAAAAAAGATATTATCTTATTGTTCTAATAGTTTTATGCGTATGCAAAGCACAATTGTACTATTGTGATTGAAATCGAGCAGTTTATTTCGTGACACGTTCAGGATTTGAATATTTATGAACCGAAGCTATAAATTTCAGCAAAGAATACTCGCGATTCACTTGTAGGTAAGACTTGAATAGTAAAATTTTAATTTTGTGCAAATATGACGTTTAATTCAGTATTAACAGCGTTGATTACTTTCCAAATATTTAAAACCGGCTTTAGTTCTTATGAATTCAGCAAACAAAGTAATAAAACTTTTTTTTTTAATTTTTCTTTAAAAAAAATTAATTTAAATATATTTCAGTTTGTTCCCAATATAAACAGCCCTGTAATAAAAGAATCAACCCATTAATTGTTGGTGGAACAAACGTTGATGCAAAAGAATTCCCTCACATGGCCCTCATTGGTTTTGGAGAAGAAAATGACATACAATACGAATGTGGAGGCGCATTAATCAGCAGCAATTTTGTACTCTCTGCTGCACACTGTGGTGACAGTCGTGAATTGTTCGCAGTTCTCATACAAATCGCCTGTTATGAATTATTATCTATTTTGTTTTAGTGGGCCAGCAACCAAAGTTAAATTCGGTCTAATCCATCGTGATGAGACGAGTGCTCACGTCCAAGTACGAAACATAATCGAGGTGTTCATTCATCCTGAGTATAAACGACCTATTAAGTACCATGACATCGCCTTGTTCAAATTGGATAAGAATGTAGCGTTCAGTGATTTTGTGAGGCCCGCATGTTTGAACACCGAGAAAAATCTCAATGGATTGGTGCCAAGTGCGATTGGTTTCGGCAAAACTAAATTTAGTAAGATTTGGAGTCATTTATGAGATTGATGTATGAATGGAGTAATAATATATTTATTTTAGCTGATGAGAAGGGGAATCCAGAACTAAAAAAAGTTAATCAACCGATTTTAGAAAATTCAGTTTGTCAACCGTTTTACTCTTCGATGCGTGTGAGTACACTGAATCAAGGTGGTTTGATTGATAAGCAAATATGCGCGGGCGTATTAAGTGGTGGTCAGGATACATGCCAAGGTGATTCCGGTGGGCCCTTACAGACTTATCTGAGAGAACCACTGTGTAATTACAATATTATTGGTATTACTTCGTTTGGGAAGTTTTGTGGATATGCTAAATCTCCTGCAATTTATACAAATGTTTATCATTATGTGCCGTGGATTGTTCAAACTGTTTGGAAAAGTTAATTAACTTTTATTGAATGTTATGTATTTGAGCAAAGTTTCAAGTAAAGAAATGATGTAAGAAATAAATTGATTTGGTTGGTGATGATATTCTTCAATTGATGCGCATGTGTATTGAAAGTTGCCTATGTTAAATCATCATAATTGAAATAAATAATAAGAGAAAAATGCAACAAAAATAAAAACAAAAACATAATGTAATTATCTCATTCGCAGAATTATCAACTTCCCATTTCCGATATTTGCGACAATAAAATTCAACCTTGAAAACCGGGACTTTTTATAAACGTCGGGAATTTGTCGTAAAATGATTATTTTTTATTAAAAATTGTTTGATAATTCCTGTTAATCCAAACCCACTACTTTACTATCCTCCAAAGTCTAGAACACTTCACCAAACAAATAATCATTGAATTAGTTAGTCATTAGCGTGATACGTTCGAAACACGACTTCAAATTGTTTTGTTTAACATTACGCTAAAAACAAAAGTATCATTGCTGTTTGACCACTTGTCGCATCAAAACATACACCGTGTGGATCGTCCGGAGGTAGAAGACATCAAAAGATCAGATCATTTACATTCGTGCAAGTGTAAACATGGTTTTACGAGTGTCATTGTACGTTGTCCTCGGTCTCGCTGTGGTCGGCTTCGAGGTTGTTCATTCGCAATCTGCAGGTAATTACTTGTACCGCTTAGTCGTCCACCTCTCCGCCATTGCTTCCGGTTGGGGAAAAACAGAAGACGCTGATGGTAGCGATGATTTACTCAAAGTCACATTGGAGTTCTTTAGCCAAAACGAATGTTTTAAATATTTTCCTGCAAACAGGCGTAAATACAGCGAGGGTATCATAGAAAAATCACAGATTTGTGCTGGATCACGATCTGAATTGAAAGATACATGTCAGGTAACTTTAATTACCATAATAATTAAAATAAACCACAGTTTAATTTTTTCCTAAATAAATTTAGGGAGACTCTGGAGGTCCTCTTCAAATATTCAGCGATGTACCATGCAGTTATTCATTGGTAGGAATCACATCATTCGGCAAGTTTTGCGGTATTGTGAAGGTACCAGCAGTTTACACAAGAGTTTATAATTATCTAGAGTGGATTGAAAAAAATGTTTGGCCGTAAATTTAAATATCAACCAAACAAAATGGAATTTTAATTTTAGTTAATGGTATTTTAATTACCGACAGGTTTAGCGATTATTATTATATGTGACACGTAAAACTAATGTAATTTTTTATACTGTACAATACAATAGACATAAATTATTTAAGCATGTGATGTTTAATTATTAAAAGTAGTACTGACCTACGATATCAAAACAATTTACAACCAGGATGTTTTGATTTTGTGTGTTTTGAATGTAACAGTAGTTGCTTCAGGATACAGGTAACATGCAACTAAAGTTGTTGACCTTGAATAAATTTAAATAAATTTGGTCAAATATTGTGATAATTAAAGGAAAATAATATAAAATTATTTATTGGATGTCAACAACTTTGGTTGAACGTCACAAAGGTGCTTTAAAGTAAAATTTTGTTTTATTTTTAGTAATTTTGTAATTATTATACTTAAGACCTAGTCTACCATAAAATTTACTTTTATTGTTTGGTTCGCGATGCATCATATTTTTACATTTTATTAATTTCCGAACAAAAAGCACGGCGAGCAAAGGAAGTTGATGACTACTCACTCGTTGCTTGGCTAAAGGTGAGCAATGCGAGCAAAGCGGTACACAAAGAAGCAAAAAATTAGTTTATGGCAGTAGGCATGGCTCGTCTATATGCGCAAACTTGCCGGGCGCAAAATAATCATCGATATAACCTGGTGTGAGCCGGCGTTTCGAATTCATTCGTAAAGTTGCCGCTTCTACGTAATATTTGTTTACAAGTGATTCATTTTGTATGTGTATGTGATTCCCAAAAAGTTAGTAATTTTATTCGGAAATTTAAATTCAAATAAATTGACTCAAAGATTAAACTTTCTCCTCATATAAAAACGGTTTAGTGAATTAAATTGACAGTGTAGTTAACAGTTAAATAATGGCAAAGGATTGGTTATTTAGAGTGTGTTTAGTGTTTGTGTTATTTTTGTGCCTTGATTTAGTGATAACACAATTTCCAAATGGAGAAGGAGATGGTATTTATTAAATATTAAATATATATTAAAATTTATTATAAATTTTGTTCTTTTAGTACCAAAATGTAAATTACCCAGTGGAGAATCAGGAGTCTGTACACCTTTAAGACGATGCCCAAGTGGTCTCCAACGTTACCGAGCAGACAAACGCAAAAGTTTGTGTTGGGTGCGCGGATACATTGCTTATATCTGCTGTGATCCAAACGAAGAAAACTCTGAAAAACCCCGTGTGGGAGACAAGAGCAAATCAAGTAATTCGCAATCAAAATAAATTTTCCATTTAGTCACATCCTTTCTAATTCAAATCAGAAATCTAGTACTAATACAAAACCTTGACTTGGGTTTTTATCTTTTTTTCTTGTTTACGACTAAACCTATAGCAGTAGATTTAATTAATAGTTTATTTTGTATCTAGAATGTGAAGAATGGTACCCACGCAGAAGCTACTGGTTTGGCAGCGGCGCCCTCATAGGCGGCTTTCAAAGTCTCGCAAAGGAATTTCCGCACATGGTACGTAACATCCAATAATCACGCTGTTTACAGGTGATAATTAAAAGTCTCTTACGGTAAACAGGCAGCGCTTGGTTATGCGGACGGCGATGAGACCCGCTGGGCTTGCGGCGGAAGTTTAATTAGCGAGAAGTTTGTGCTAACCGCAGCGCATTGCATCAAGAATAAAGAATTGTGAGTAAAATTTTAATAGAAAATCGATATAAGATATAACATCATGTACATTTGTGGTTTTCTAGAGGTGAAATTACAAAAGTACGTCTTGGCGATTTGAATCTCAAATCGACCACTGACGATGCTCAACCGAAGGACCTTGCAGTGCTTCGTACAATACGACATCCCCAGTATAAGTCTCCATCGCAGTATCACGACGTGGCACTGGTTGAACTCAGTGAGGCACTGCAATTTAATGATTTCATTAAACCTGCTTGTTTGCAAGTGAACAGAGAAGAATCGTACTATGAATTGATTGCTACAGGGTGGGGCAATTTGGAATATACAGGTCCACCTGCAGAACACCTTCAAAAAGTGTTTCTTGATCCGTATGATAATGAACTATGTAATGAATTTTATCAGGATACAAATAAACGTCGGTTGGCTAGAGGTATAGATGATGATAGTCAACTCTGCGCTGGTGGTATTGACAGGGACACATGCCAGGTACCTTCAATTTATTTAAAAAGTGAATAAATAAATTTTTGGAATTTTAGGGTGATTCTGGTGGTCCTTTACAAGTAAAAAACGAACATCTCATTGGAGGCTATACTATAGTAGGCATAACTTCTTTTGGAAAGGCTTGTGGATTATCGGATAGTCCTGGTGTGTACACCAGGGTCTCAAATTATATAAAATGGATCGAATCGATCGTATGGCCCAATTGATTCTTAAACAAAACAATGTTTACTTATTATAAAGATACAAATAAATAAGGTGTGCAATTTTATTTAATTTTTTACAAGAATTTAATGAGTTTTCCAGTGTGAATTCAACGTACACGCAAGAAAAAAATAAGTCAACAAGTTGTCGTGCTTGGTCATCAAGGTCGTCCTTAATTTTACTACGTTTTATTTGTTTACTAGTATGTATTTTATTTGCAACGTTTTATTAACATATCGAGTATACGTATTAAAATTTATTTTTAAAATTTAACTTGTGAATTCTTGAATATCTGGATTGCAATGTAAGAGATTAAAACAACTAGCATGGCCTGGCGTAAAACCCAGGTCGTGATGATCCCATAATACTCTGGTTTTAGTCATCACACCACCACCGGTTTAGTCAGCCAGAGGTTTCCTGTATTCTGCGACGACGAGTCAGTTACTGCATTGCATTCAAGTGTAACGGGCACGCATTTTGTAGTTTTGCTCACAGAATGGGTTTTTTGAAACTTTGTTTTATACATGTTTGCATTTTAATTTTTGTTTTGGTGTGTTGTCAAGCTCAACCTCAACTAAATGGTAAGTTATGATTTTTTTATAATTTCAGTGTAATTGGATTAATAATTGATTGAATTGTTTATTTAGATTCCTGCGTTATGACTGATGGTAATCTAGGAATATGTTTGCACTTCAAAAACTGTCCAAGTGCTATTGAATTGGTTAAATCCAGGAAAGGAACACCTAATCAATGTGGGTTTGAAGGAAAACATCCAATTGTCTGTTGTGAATCAAAGGTGTTATTAAAAACAAGAGTTGTAGGAGAAATAAGCAGACAAAGTATTAAATATTAATTTATTACAATTTATACTTAGTTTTAATATATCGTTTTTTATTATAGAATGTGAAGAAGCATATCAATTCTTACCTGCTACCACAAAACCACCACCTACCACTGAACCACCACTGCCTGATAATTTAACCCTTGCAGAAATAATTGAATGGGAGAAACGAAGGGAAGAAGAGGCAGCAAAAGCTGGTAAACCTTTACCAGGCGTACATAAATCCGCTGTAGGTGGTGTCGATGCAAAACCACAAGAATTTTTTCACATGGTAAATTTATTAATTACTACTTAATTAAAATTCGTTAAAATTAAATAATTAAAATTTTATTGAATATTCACATCTTAGGCGGCACTTGGTTACGGTGAACGTGATCAAATCATATGGGGATGTGGTGGTAGTCTTATAAGTGAAAAATTTGTTTTAACTGCGGCTCATTGCATCCATACCTCTATGTAAGACACAAAAATCAAAAAGGAATCAATTAATCATTGTAATTCACTATAATTTTAGTGGATCAGTACAATATGTCCGTCTAGGTGATTTAAATCTAAAACTTACCAATGAAGATGCAAAACCTCAGGATTTTGACATCGTAAAACTTATTCTTCATCCGAATTATAAGGCACCTTCGGTATATAATGACATTGCAATTGTTGAACTTTCTGGAGTAGCTGTGTTTGATAATTATGTGCGACCTGGATGTCTTTACACTGAGTCTGAAGTTCCTGAGAAGGATTTAAGCGCTACTGGTTGGGGTTTGACAAGTTTTAATGGTGAGCAGGCTGATCACCTTCAAGAAGTTCAACTGCGTCTATTCACGTTTGAATCGTGCCAGAAATCTTATGCTTCAATGTCTAAAAGAAGATTGGCGAATGGAATTGATGATAAATCACAAGTTTGTGTCGGAGAGACTTTTAGAGATACTTGTCGGGTATTTAACTACTTATACTTTAATATTACTAATATTTATTTAATATTATTTATTTTAGGGTGATTCTGGAGGTCCGCTTCATATTAAAAATCAGCTGTATCCCCGAGGGTATCAAGTAATAGGAATAACTTCATTTGGTAAAGCTTGTGGAGTTGGTATTGGAGCATCTGTGTATACACGAGTTTCACATTATATTGAATGGATAGAATCCATTGTTTGGCCAGAAACTTAATTACAAAACTCTGTTATTTCTTAGGTTTTTCCATTTTGGGATTTAATTAATTGCGCATTATTAACTGTCACTGATAATGTTAATCTGGCGATACATATTCGTAGAATTAAAATGCGCAACAGCACATGATTAATTGAATTGAATTCCAAAATAGAAATATATGAATATGATGTAAGTGTTTACGTAAATAAAATTTGTATTTTATTTGCATGTCTGAGACTGAATCTAACCATGAATCAATATCTATTAACTGATATAATTAATTACTTATGTTAACAACTCATCTGGGAAATCACTATGAGTGGCTTTTTACATGCTGTGCTATTAATGACAACTAAGGAAATACTTTACATTGTTTTTTAGATTCCTGTGATTGCAAATTTGCAATATCAAGTAGAAGATTCAACAATTAAAAGAAGAGTTTTAGAATTTTTTTTAAATATCACATAGTCCTGATGATTACTCATTTACAGTTAAAATGAATTGAATCATTTGTCTGGTTCAATTTAATTACTGCGGTTTTAATATAAACAATAATTTAGTTTTTTCTCTGCAAAAACATTTATTATTCTCGAGTTCAAATAAAAGAACCACACACAAAATAATTTACAAGTTCTCATGCTTGGACATCAAGGTCGGTCATAATAAGAGTACTTACTACAGCGTTCTTTTTTCCTCAACGTTTTAATAACATGCCTACTGTGTATAGGCATTACAATTTATTATTAATCAACTTGCTAAATTAATAAATTCTTTATTACCACAACAAATCAAACAGTTGCTATACCAATTATATACAACCAGCGGCGTAGCGTGCCTTGTCGGGGCCCCGTATAAATTTTTTTTGGAGGCCCTTATATGGAGGTAAAGGTTTTTCTTTACACACTTTGGGGGCCCCCGTGGCCCGGGGGCCCCGTATAATTGATACGGCAAATACGGCGGTAGCTACGCCCCTGTATACAACGTAAAATCAGGTCGTAATGATGTTCAAATTCGCAGGTCATCACACCACCACCGGTTTTGTTAGCTAGATGGTCATGGTATTTAGTAAATACGAATCAGTTATAAAATAACACGCAAGAGTAACGTGTTCAAGTTTTTGATCTTCTTAGAGATAAAATGGAAAATTTAAAATTCTACACTGTAATTATTTTCACTTTCCAAATTGTTTTGGTAAATTGTTGTGTATCTACTCAAATAAACGGTATGCAAAAACCTTATAAGACATTATTTTTTTGCTAAAAAATATTTGTTTTGTTTAGATGCCTGTGAGTTGAATAATGGATCTCCAGGAAAATGCGTGCGCATTGAAAATTGCCCACATGCTATCGAACTAATTCGATCCAGAAAAGCATCACCTAAACAATGTGGATTTGAAGGAAGACATCCGGTTATTTGTTGTGACTCAAAGGTATTACTTGAACCATTGATTAATCGGAGGAATGTCGGAGATATAAGCAAACAAAGTTAGTAATTAATACATTAAAATGTTTGTTTTACTAAAAAGGTCAATTATTTTAGAATGCGCTGAAGCATATGAATCATTACTGGTTACCACAAGGAAACCAATTATTGAAGAACCACCATTGCCCAAAAATCTATCTTTTGCCGAGCTTATTGCATTAGCAGAACAAGAAAATATTAATGCACATACATCCGCCGTTGGAGGTTACAATGCAATTCCTCGTGAATTTTTACACATGGTAACACATCTCTATTAATAATTAAATATAATAAATAAATAAAAAAATAATAAAAAATTTTACAGGCCGCACTTGGTTACGGTGAACGTGATCAAATCACATGGGGTTGTGGTGGTAGTCTTATCAGCAAAAAGTTTGTATTGACAGCTGGTCATTGCATTCATACCAACGCTCTGTAAGTTAAAAAAAAACAAATAAATTACATATTAAAATAAAATTTATTATAATTTTAGTGGAACCGTGAAATTTGTGCGCCTTGGTGATTTGAATTTAAAATCAAACACCGACGATGCAAACATACAGGATTTTGACATCATTAAACTTTTCGTTCATCCAAACTACAGAGCACCATCGGTTTATCATGACATAGCTCTTATTGAACTCTCAAAAGAAGCAGTAATAGATAATTTCGTACGCCCAGGTTGTATTTCCGCTGATAATAATATTCCGGGAGAAGATTTAAGCGCAACTGGCTGGGGTGTGACTAGTTTTAATGGCGAACAGGCTGATCACCTTCAAGAAGTTAAACTGCGTCTATTCACATTTGAATCATGTCAGAAAGCGTATGCATCAATGTCCAAAAGAAGATTAGCAAATGGCATTGATGATAAATCACAAGTTTGTGCCGGAGAAGATCATATAGACACTTGTCTAGTAATTAACTACTTATACTTTAATATTACAAACATTTATTTATTATTATGTATTTTAGGGTGATTCTGGAGGTCCGCTTCAAATTAAAAACCCGCAATATCCCAGAGGGTATCGCGTGATAGGAATAACTTCATTCGGTAAAGCTTGTGGAATTGGTGTTGAAGCATCTGTGTATACACGCGTTTCACATTATATTGAATGGATAGAATCTATTGTTTGGCCGGAATGGGCTTAAGTATATTATAAATACTGTATATTTACTTTTACTTTCAGGTCATTTATATAAGTGACTAGCTGTTGCCCGCGACTTCGTTCCCGCAGTGTTTAATAAAAATGTAATTCGTTTTTAATCTCTTGTTCTAGACATACTCATAGTAAGAGTCAATTCTATCAATAAGATTAGCAATTTTAATTTAAAGAAATTAATTATATAAAGTTTTGTGAATAATGCACTTCAGCGCGCCATCTCGAATTCAACTATTTAACTATAACTATGATTGAATCTCAATGTCAAATTTTATTCTATAGAAAAGAGCTGTTTTGAGGATTTTCCCGGCAATTATTCGAATTTTTCTCACCTTTTAAACCTTCCCTAGACCTCCACGAATAATTCAAGACCAAGATAAGATAAATCCGTTCAGCCGTTCTCGAGTTTTAGCGAGACTAACAAACAGCAATTCATTTATATATATATATATATTGATTATCACATTAAATACTCATTCACTTTATTATCACTTTAACATGTTTGATTAATGATGAATATAATTAATTATTGCTCTGACCGATGTTGATATCAGTATGCTAATAATAGTACTTACTCGTACATCATGTCGTGAACCACAGCAGATGTTTGAGTTTGTACAATAGTTCAACGCTAGGTTTTTAGGAAAAACCTGTTTTTGTCCGACAAAGGTCCAGCTCGAATAGGTGGGGAAGCAGGTACTGTACAAGTTGATCTAAAGTTTAAACGTAAAATTTTGCAAATTTTAATTTAGTCGTCTGAGAGATGTTGTAACGGGTAACTAAACAAGTGTTCACTCATAATGTTATTCACAAACTGTTTATTAGTGATTTTATCACTGTTTTCTCACCGTCTAGTACAATGCCTTGAAAGTAAGTAGATATTTTAATTGTTTTATTGCATTGTGTGAAATGTTTAAAATAATTTTTGTTAATAGATACGTGTACATTAGATAATGGTAATACCGGACAGTGTGTACGGATTGAGAATTGTCCCAGCGCAATCGCACAAGTGCGTAATAAAAAAAACATGCCGAAAAGGTGTCGTTTTGATGGAAAACATCCAATTGTGTGCTGTGAAATAAAAGAAGACTTACAAAAATTGCCTCCTGGTACAATTAGTAAACAAAGTATGGAATAATGTTTTTATAATTAATGTTTTTAAAATTAATTTAATATTAACCATATTTTTAGAATGTGAGGAGTATTATCCAGCTATCCAGCAACCAGTTCTCATTCCTCTTAAACCAATTCCTTTACCTTTACCTGCCGTCACTGAAGCACCAAGTGAATTTTCTTCAGCACCACCAGCACCGGAAGTTGTAGGTGGAATCGATGCTCCACCACTAACATTTACACATATGGTATGTTGGTATAAAATAAATCAATAACAAACCTGTGAATTTAAAAAATTTTAGGCTGCGCTTGGTTATGGAGATTATCCAGATATTTCCTGGGCATGTGGAGGAAGTCTTATCAGTGAAAAATATGTTTTAACAGCTGCACACTGCACTAAAACATTAACGTAATTTTTTCTTTAAAGAAACTTAATATAAATCAATTAATTTTTTGTTTATTTTAGTGGTGACGTGAAATATGTCCGTTTAGGTGATTTAAATATTAATAGTACAACCAATAACGCTGAAACACAACGTTTCAACGTCTCTAAAATCATTAACCATCCGGATTACAAAGCACCTTCCGTTTATAATGATATTGCACTGCTTGAGCTTTCCAGGCGAGCACGTTTCAATCTCTATGTATTTCCAATATGTCTTTACACTAATCCAGAAATACCGAAGAAAGACTGGATAGCAACCGGATGGGGAAATTTGAGATTCCTTGGTGAACGAGCTCATCACCTTCAACAAGTGACCATCCACGAATCCTCCAATGAAACTTGTAAAGATGCTTACGCTTCAACAACAAAAAGAAGACTGAAGAATGGTATTGATTTCAAAACACAACTGTGTGCAGGGGCATTAAATAAGGATACTTGTCAAGTACATGATAATTATAGAAATGTATTTTACTGATTGTTATTATAATTGTGATGTTTTTAGGGGGATTCTGGTGGACCACTGCAAATTAATAATGCTGCTGGGGGTTTTAGCTTAATTGGAATTACATCGTTTGGAAAAGCTTGTGGAATTGGTAATACCCCAGCTGTATATACCAGGGTTTCACATTATGTTGGTTGGATTGAATCAATTGTTTGGGCATAAAACTGCTTGGGAATTTTTTATTGTTGCTCGTACTATTACATAATTTTATAGCTCAAATGCCACTGAGACGTACAATGAATGCAAAAATAAGCAAAATAAAAATGCAATAAACATATAAATATAAAAATATATTTGTCATAATTCAAACAAATTATCCCCAGATCTTAAATACTTGAATTCAGGATTAATTAAAAATTGATTTATTGCATGTTATAAGGCAATCTGTGAATAATTTACCAATACTTTTATTCAGAGGTGTCTTGAAACATAAAAATTCATATAATATAAAAATTGGAGGTGTAATTAATATAATCAAATAATTAATACACCTAATGCACGGTGGAATTTAAAATTTTAATTAAGGTGCAACAAAAACAGGTTTATGAACGCAAATACATCGATATAAATGAATATAATTGTCATTGAAACTGTTTTCTAATTCCGTGCCAACTATAAAGCAGTAAACTCAGGGAATTATTTGACTTAAATTGAATTTAATTCTGTTTAGAAATAAACGCGCTGTAAAAATGTCTCAGACCTTCTCAACCATAATTGTTTTGTTAATAATGATAGTTATTAGTTTAGTTTTTGTTAAAGGTAAGTGAGTAATTGCAATTGAATAGTGAAATAGTCCAATTGATTTGTGTTTATATTCTACTTTGATTTAATTCGTATATTTTCTGTGATAATATACTTTTTTGCTTACCTTCTGCTTATTATTTCATTGACAGAAACAAATGCCCAGTCAAATGCGAAACGTAAACGTAAAGTTGGAGAAATCAGCAAACAAAGTTAGTAAAAACAAAAAATTATGATAAAAGGATAATTTATTTATCATTTAGTGTGCAATGACGAACCAAGGTACATCAAATTCAGTGTGACTGAAGCTAGAAAAAACGGTAAAAGTGGAATTGAACGGGTTCGAAGACAACTAGATGCTTTTGAAGACGATGACGATTTTGAAATTGATGCCGATTTTGAAGCCGATGATGATTCTGAAGCCAGTGACAATTCTGAAACCAGCGACGATTCTGAAGAAAAATTTTACCCATCGGGTAGAGGCGGTATTGGTGGAGAGGATGCCAAATCTAGTCAATATCCTCATATGGTTCTTAAATTATTTACTCTCCAATCAGAAATAAACTAAATATTTTACTTTTTAGGCAGCATTGGGTTACGGTGAATGGGAGAATGTGAAATGGGGATGTGGTGGTACTTTAATCAGCGATACATTTGTTATGACTGCTGCGCATTGCATAGATACATTATTGTAAGTAAATATAATTAAAATTTTTTGATTTGTGTTAATAATGATGTTAATCAGAGGTCGATTGAAGTATATCCGCTTGGATGATATTAATCTAGCAAGCGACGATGATAACTCCTACCCTCAAGATTTCAACGCATCGCGGATTATTATCCATCCGGATTACAATCCCCCATCGGCATACAATGACATTGCCTTAGTAGAATTAGATCACCCGGTTGATCGACTAGGAAACAGCCTTACACCTGCTTGTCTGCAAATTGACCGAAACATTGCAGATCCAAAATGGTCCGCACTTGGTTGGGGTGAGACAAGTCACCATGGTCCAGCTGCTGATCATTTACAGGTGATGGAATTACGTGAAGCTGATTACACCGTGTGCAAGAACGCGTATTTGAATGCAGGGAAAAGAAGATTGGAATACGGTGTTGATAACGATTCTCAGATGTGTGCTGGAAAGGGAGACGTTGATACATGTTTGGTATATTTGTTGATAAAGTATTTTATGCTAAAAATAAATTGATATACGTTGATTTTTAGGGGGATTCTGGTGGTCCTCTTCAAATATCAAACGAAAAGTACTGGACGGGTTATACTGTAATTGGGATTACTTCATTTGGGAAAAAATGCGGGCTGACGAATAAACCAAGCGTTTACACACGGGTTTCACATTATATTGAGTGGATTGAATCAGTTGTTTGGCCTGAGTGAGATTTTAAATCGAAAATTAAATCAAAATCTATGTCCAAATAAAAATTAAAGAAAATTATAAATTAATTTAAAATTTGACAGATATCAATGTGCTCCAAGTATATTTGTTTCTAAAATTATAATCAGTGGATTAATAAAGTTGTTTTTATTCTGTGTTTTTATTTAGTGCTTATATAGTGTAGTATAAGTAATTAGACGTCATTAAACTTCATTAAATTGCATAGATCTCTACGACCTTCAAACATTCTTTCCCAGATACATCAGCACTGCTTTGTTTTGATCTAATGAATTAATCGGAAATACAATAACTCGGGTAGGATAGAAAACAAGTTTGTAAACGCAATAAACCAGAGTAATTACATATTTTTAAAATAATAATTGCCCCCATTGCCGGTTAGTTATAATTCATCATTGTAACAGTACAGTTATAGAAATGTATCAACATTTTACATTTATATTACTATTATTTCTGGTGATAGAAATAAAAAATGTGGCACCTAAACGTGAAGTTGGAGAAATCAGCACTCAAAGTATGTAGAAACACAAATAATGCAATAATAACAATTAATAACAATTATACATGTCATTTTAAATTTTGTTTAAGTGTGCAATGCTGAACAATACACTCGTAAAGTAGCTCTTAGTCCAAGATCTGGAGGAGGAGGTGGAGGAGGCGGCGGAGGAGGAGGCGGAGGTGGAGGTGGAGGTGGGGGAGGCGGTGGCTATAATGCACCTCCAAGCGAATATCCTTACATGGTAAGAAAATTTAATAAAACCTCTTTATTTACTCCCGTATTAATATTTTAGGCTGCTTTGGGTTATGGTGAACCGAATGATATAAAATGGGGTTGTGGAGGATCTTTAATCAGCGATAACTATATTTTGACAGCTGCGCATTGTATAGAAACACAACTGTATTCAATTAAAACCAATCGTCTGGCTTAGTATTTTAATAAAACTGTTTCAGTGGTAAATTGAAGTATATCCGCGTGGGCTTCGTAAATTTAGCACGTAATGCAGTGGGACCTTGGCCTTCAGACTTCACAGCAGCAAACGCAATTCTTCATCCAGATTTTAAACCTCCGTCTGTTTACAATGATATAGCTTTGGTTGAATTAGATAGGCCAGTGAGAACAAGCGGAAGCTATGTTAACAGAGCATGCCTTCAAACAGAACGTAATATAACTGAACCAAACTGGTCTGCACTTGGATGGGGTGAGACCAGTCATCATGGCCCAATTGCTGAACATTTGCAAGTGATGGAACTGCGTGAAGCTAATCACACCATATGTAAAAAATCGTATTTGAATGCTGGTGAAAGGAAACTAGATCATGGCGTTGATGATGATTCTCAGTTGTGTGCTGGGAAAGAAAATGTTGATACATGTTTGGTATTAATATAAATTAAAATGTATTTGAAATGATAATAATATTAATGATTTACAGGGTGATTCAGGTGGTCCTCTTCAAACAAAGCATACTAAACACGAGAAGGCTTATACAATTATTGGCATAACTTCATTTGGAAAACCGTGTTTATTAACGAATAAACCAGGAGTTTATACGCGGGTTTCACATTATGTTGAGTGGATTGAAAATATTGTTTGGCCTGAAAAGGAGTGAAACAAAAATTTAAAAAACTACAAACTTGCAAAATTGGGTTTTCATATTGCGGTTCTGTAAAAGTGTAAAAGTGATCAGAATAAAATTAATACCTAAATTACAAGATGAACAGTAAAACTATGTATCATGTTGCTTAAAGTTGACCTTGAATAATTAATTAATTAAATAACAGATTATAATTATATCCATTGTAAGATCAAACAACTGGTTTATTTCTTAGTAATTATAATCTAGGAACATGTTTCAGTTGCAGCTAGAACTTAAATCCGTAAACAATGTATCAAAACCGTGTATTATTATTGTTTCTAATAGTAACAATCACAATTGTTTTTGCTTTAAGTGATACTAATGGTAGAAACATGATATTTACACATAAATTAATTTTATTTTTATTAAGAATTTAATTATAGATTCTTGTAATCATGCAAATTGCAATCAGAAACGAAAAGTTGGAGAAATCAGTCATCAAAGTGAGTAGATCATTTCTAAAATCTTATATAATACTAGCTTTAACCCGCGGCTTCGCTCGCGAATATCTAAAATAATGAAGTTGCTTCCGTACGCGTCTGTAGTCACAGAAGAAGTAACAATGAAGTAGAATGGCGGGAAGTTTAAAATGGCTGAAAGTATAGTCTATGGAAGTATAGTGTACAGTCTCCATAGTGTAGTCAATTGGATTTGATGTTGACGTAGCTGTCGGTAATACAGTGTGATAATACAGTGTGATGGTACTATAGTACTTAGGTTTGAGCTTCATTGCTGGAATGCTAGATGGCGTTAAAGTAGTCAAATAGCCAGAGGTATTATTGGCTAAACAATTTCTTTATTTTATTTAAAAAATAATTTTTTTATTAAATAAAAAGTAGCCTATAACCATTCGGGGACCACTAACAATATGTGTACAAATTTACATGATGATCGGTTAAGTAGTTTTTGCGTGAAAGTGTACCAAACATCAGGACTTTCGCATTTATAATATTAGTAGGGATTAAGATGTTTTTCAATATAAAGAGTTATTTAGAAAATTACGAGTAGATTAATCGAATAAATAGTAGATCCAATATTTTATGGAATTTAACATGCTTATTCGTTAAGGTGTAATAAAAACAAGTTTATGAAGGCGAATTAATTAATGCTATTGATTCTGATGATCGTTTAAAGTGTTGTATAGTTCAGTATAAACTATAAAACACTACCATAGATTTTTTTAACTTCAATTGAATTTAATGTTGCTTAGAAGTATATACGTCGTAGAAAATGTTTAACATAAGTTTTAAAATGTTTTTTTCCTTTTTAATATCAGCATTAGTGATTAGTTTAAGTATTTCTGAAGGTGAGCTAATTAATAGCAATTAACTATAATATTTTAAGTAATTATTTACACTACAACTAAAATTTCAGGTGAATATGTGGAACGAAAACGTAAAATTGGAGACATTAGCAAAGAAAGTTAGAAGAAAAAACAAAGCAATTACAATTTGTCAGTTAAATATTTTATAATTATTTTAGTGTGTAATAAGGAACCAAGATTTATTAAATTTGACGTTTTTGAAGCCAGAAAAGTAAAACCTGGATTCGAAGAGATGCAAAGAAAACTAAGAGAAAAAAGACAACAAAATGGAGAAAATATAGGAGGCAGAGGTGGTATTGGGGGAGAAAACACCGAATGGAATAAATATACTCATATGGTTCTTAAATTATTTACTCTAGAATCAGAAACAAACTAAATATTTTAATTTTCAGGCTGCTTTGGGTTACGGTGAATGGAAGAATGTAAAATGGGGATGTGGTGGTACTTTAATCAGCGATACATTTGTTATGACTGCTGCGCATTGTATTGACACAATATTGTAAGTAAACATAATTAAAAATGTATGCTTTGTGTTAATAGTGATGTTAATTAGAGGTCGACTAAAGTATATCCGCTTAGACGATATAAATCCAGCAATGAACGATAATTACTCCTACCCTCAAGATTTCAACGCATTGCAGATTTTTGTCCATCCGGGTTACAATCCTCCATCGGCATATCATGACATTGCCTTAGTAGAATTAGATCACCCGGTTGATCGACTAGGAAACAATATTATACCTGCTTGCCTGCAAGTTGAACAAAACATTGCAGATCCGAAATGGTCCGCACTTGGATGGGGTGAAACTAGTTACAATGGTCCAACTGCTGATCATTTACAGCTGATGCAGTTACAAGAAGCTGATTTCACCGTGTGCAAGAACGCGTATTTGAATGCTGGAGAAAGAAGATTGGAACATGGTGTTGATAACGATTCTCAGATGTGTGCTGGAAAGGGAGATGTGGATACATGTTCGGTATACTTGTTAATAAAGTATTTTATAGAAAAAAATAAATACAATACATTGAATTTTAGGGAGATTCAGGTGGTCCTCTTCAAATACCTAATAAAATGAACGATACAGGGTTCACAGTGATTGGGATTACTTCATTCGGGAAAAAATGTGGACTCACAACTAAACCAAGCGTTTACACACGAGTTTCATATTATATTGAGTGGATTGAATCAATTGTTTGGCCGCAGTGAAATTTTATATACTCCATCCCTATTAATATTATAAATGCGAAAGTCCTGATGTTTGTTACACTTTCACGCAAAAACTACTTAACCAATCATCATGACAATTTGTACACATATTCTTAGTGGTCTCCGAATGGTTATAGGCCACTTTTTATTTAATAAAAAAATTATTATTTAAATATAATAAAGAAATTGTTTAGCCAATATTACCTCTGCATCTGGCTATTTGACTACTTTAACGCCATCTAGCATTCCAGCAATGAAGCGCAAACCTAAGTACTATAGTACCATCACACTGTATTATCACACTGTATTGCAAACTGGCTACGTCAACATCAAATCCAATTGACTGCACTATGGAACTGTACACTATGCTTCCATAGACTATACTGTCAGCCATTTTAGACTTCCCGCCATTCTACTTCATTGTTACTTCTTCTGTGACTACAGACGCGTACGGAAGCAATTTCATTATTTTAGATATTCGCGAGCGAAGCTGCGGGTTAAAGCTAGTTTTAATATAAACCAAGAACCACAATACCTAACAAATTAAAACTTATATCTTCTTATAATAACGCGTCAAAGTGTAGAAGTGGTGGAACAAATAAACTGGTTTGGAAATTAACTATTTTCAATGTCATTCAGTCGCAGATTCACATTGAAACAATGAAGTCATGTAATTAAACATCAGTAGTGTTTAATAAGTAGATATCTTTCATAAATAATGTATAAAATACTTGCAAATATATTACTTTTGACAGTTTATTGTATAAGTAAAGTTGGTAGTATGTAATTTTTAACTCTTTAATAATGATTTATTAAAATAGTTATTACAGATAATTCCAATCAGACAAATGATCATCTACAACAAGATCCTGCAGACAATTGTAATAAACTTTTATTTTTATCTTTTGACTATTGTGAATAATTATTTTGATGAAGAAGGCTGAATTTAATTTCTTATACACTGCTACATATATTTTTTAGCTTTGGAGATCTCTTTTCCTGTAAATCTAATAAAAACGAAAGATGAAGATAATATTGTTACTGGTTGGGGAGTAGGTGGAAATGATGTAGATCCACTAGAATATCCGCACATGGTTTGCAAATGTAAGCTTTACAAATAACTTGTTTCTGAATATTTTATTTTAGGCTGCATTGGGTTATGGTGATTGGAAAAGGCGTAATGGAAATGGATAATCAGCTAATATTAAAATTAAAATGTTCAGATATTCCTCATCAGGAAGTGATGGGCTGAATTTATATATTGGTAGGTACGTCATTTAGAAGAAGCCATGTGGGCTGACGAATAAACCAGGAGTTTACACACTTGTTTCACATTATATTAAGTGGATTGATTCAATTGTTTGGCCTCAGTAAAGGAATTATGAATTTATTGAATTTACTGATTTACTAGTATTGGTTACTTAAATAACTGGCGAGCCGCGGCTACAGCGCAGTTTGCAATACTGATACTAAATACACTGCAAGAGAAAAACTGTAGACATTAATTTATAAAATTATATAGCCCATGTAATTAAAATCGGTAGTAGTTTTGTTTATTTCATTTGCTGCCCGTAGTACGTACCGCAGTAAAGAAATATCTAAATTCTTGCCATTTTACCCAGAAGCAAAAGATAATCCAGCAATCGCAAAACGCACAAAAGATAGGGAGAGTAGGGGTAGCTAGAGTCAGCGGGTAATGGAGTCACCCATATCCACGAAACAATAATAGTTACGGAAATTACCGCGTAAGCAGCGTTCCTGCACCTCCGTTCTGGCCCCAGGTACTTACCCCAAAAAATCCCATGCAAATCGGTGCGTATCGTGAGATACGCCAATATTTTTATTTTTGAAGCTCCGCTTTGATAATTTTACGTCCACGCAAATTAGAAGATAAGTGTTGGCGAATATCTTGCAATATTCGAATGAAACTTTTATATAGTCTTAGTTAAACATTCAAAATCGTGATGTACAGTTCAGATTACGTAATGTTTTGAAGAAATATTTTTTGTTTTCACAATGGTGCAATTGTAGGCAATGCAGTCATGCGACTCCCAATGGACATTTTGTCTTTAGTCCACTCTAAATGGCCTATAAAAAGCAATGTGAACTTGTTACTTTCAATGGCCTTCATGCAGAAACGATACTGCAGGAAAGTAACAAAACTTTTATGAAATTCCTATGTGGCACTGATGACTTATACCAGAACTGATGGATGCGAAGATTTAGGCTTGATGTCTAATGTGCAACGATTAAAAACAATTAAATGTGGTTCATGGTACTTCATTTGGGCTATGGGCTCATGTGAAATGCACTGGGTAAGGACTTTGCGGAATATTATGTTTGCATTATCTGCTAGATTTCGTTTGATTCCGATTGTCCCCAGGGTGACCACCATTACCCGCATGTCGGTGTAATGGGAGTCAAATCTGTTTTTAAACTTTAATAATATCAAAATTGATTGTCAAAGTGACTGAAAGTTATTTCAAAATAATAGGTATTTAAGTAAACAATGCTTATAAGCGATTGCAATAAGTATTTTGTTTATAATTTAGAATTATATTTGAGTTCTCCTTAAGTGGCCCCATTACCCTCTTTTACCTACCTATTCTATTCATTTTTTTTTACTGAAATACCTCTAATTTATATTTTAAAACTACTATCATACAATTATTTATCGTAACTTACTTATAGTACTGATACGTTGTCGCTGAAAGAACGTTTTTTATTACCTAAGTATTGCTATTTTTCCTCGCTGGAGAGCTCCGATATAATAGAAGCGTGCCCGATCGCTGCAGGAAATTCAAAGTGCTACAGAGGAAACCGCGGCCGGCCAATTTACCGCCGAAAACACTACGTCCGCAATTTTTAAAAATCCGTTGCGTAGTTTCAAGATTTAAGCATACAAAGGGACAGACAGAGAAGCGACTTTCCTTCTCCCAAACAAAAAACATCAACCGATCAACTTCAACCCACACGCACCGCGTCTGTGCTTAAGAGCTACAGCTTATCGCACAAAGAGTAGTGGCGATAATATCATATTAGAAACCTCAAAAATAACAGTACTTCTCCACTATTTAATGGATGTTATTATACATACAAACCTTCCTCTTGAATTACTCTATCTATTAAAAAAAACCGCATCAAAATCCGTTGCGTAGTTTCAAAGATTTAAGCTCACAAAGGGACCGGAAAAAAAAGCGACTTTACTTTATACTATGTAGTGATGCGTATTAAATATTTTGGATGCTTTACTATTTTAAAACTAAACATGCGTGATAACTGGCGCGCCGAAACACTATGAATTTTTTGAGGTACCAGAAAGTGTCCTCAGATGGCGCCACAATGTAGGTTTAACTAAAAATATTTCAGCTGGTGGATTTTGTTTTGTTGCGTTGGTGCGATAACGACGAGCACACATTCCACATTTTCGGCTTGTGTTATTCTTTGATATAAGTTCGGTTAATCGCGTTATATTTCCTGATAATTAGTGTTAATAAACGTGTTTCATCTTTTATCAGCTATTTCTCGCGTGTGTAATCTTCGTAATTCTAAATTTTCCGTGTTAGTTTATTCACGTGTTGTGTGTTCGTTGCCGTCGGGCGTCGGCCGGCAATGTTTTGTGAACGCCATTAAGTAATGAACTTGTGAAAAACATTTATATCAACAGCAGATGATTATGGACTAATGTGCTACATGGTAAATATTGTCATTCCTATCATTATTATGTGAATTAAAGAAATTTTATTGTAAAAACTGGATTCCGACGGAATGCATATTTCTTTCAACATGGCATGAAATGCTGTAACTTATGTTTTGTTTCTCATTTATTTCAGAATCTACCAAATTGACATTCAAATACTGGTAAATAAAATAAATTAATTTCTTTTAGTATTTGTTTGCCGTGTACCTAGCATTCAGTTTAGTTCTACGTTTTATTGCTTTTTTTGCAATGTTACTAAATAACAAAGTTCTGTCAGAAGGAAAATTAAGAATAGTAATTTGAAGTTTTATTTTGACATGAATCAACAACATATTCCTCAACTTCTTATCTAATTATAAAATTTATACATCATTTAAATATTTGTAAAATCGTATAATCTTTCAGCATATTATTATTGAATTACATAAATCGAATGTAATTTTTTCATTAATTTTAATACTTAATCTAAATTGTGGAACTACTACTTGTATCATTTATAGATGGCACTAGCATGGACTAAAAATCGTAAAATAGAATTGTATTGTTTATTTCTATATTTATCAGCAAACGTGGGCATTCTACACGAGAATTGTGTTTGTTTACACTTTTTTTACTGCTGTGCGAATAGCAACGCCCGAAATTGTCGTGTGTTGTCGTTGCCATCTTCTCACGTCTCGCTATGCTCGTGTTTTAGTATAGTTTAAATCGCTGGTCTCGTGCCAATTGAAATTTGTGCATAATATCGCGTGTCTTTCTTGCGCCGGCTTTACGCGTTCGGGCAGCAGGTAGTCTTATCATAAATTGCCGCGGCCTTGTTTGCATGGCTGAGACCCAGCATACATTATTTTATTACTTTGTTTTATATAGAATAGAAGTAGAAGAAGATTAATAATTTTAAGTTAAGGAATTTCCCAAATTCCCGCTTTTAGTTTATAAGATATTTTCTATCACAAAAAAAATTATCGCTATCTTTGATTAGTCGATAAATTCCTGAATAATATTTTGTGTTTAATTTTATATTAATTTAATTTTACGTGAATTACTTTTTTAATTTTACAAGTGTCTTCTGAAACTGAGTTTTTTCTAGATAAGAAAAGTATAATTTATAATCACGTAATAATTGAAATCGCGCGTGGTGTTGGATTATAAGTAACCGCCACGAACATTTACATTCTTTGCGAGACCAGACGGTTAAACTTAAGTTTATTGACTTGAATATAAAATCAAGAACGTTGGTTTCTCTTTGTTTATTTAGTTTTATATTGCAATTAATCGCAAACACTTCGTATTTTTGTGAGGTAGGTAGAAAGTATCTTCAGATGGCGAGACAGTGCAGATTAAACTAAAAATATTACAGCGAGTGAATTTTGTTTTGTTACATCGGTGCGATAACGACGAGCACACATTCCACACTTTCGGCTTGTGTTATTCTTTGATATAAGTTCGGTAAATCGCGTTATATTTCCTGATAATTAGTGTTAATAAACGTGTTTCATCTTTTATCAGCTATTCCTAGCGTGTGTAATCTTCGTAATTCTAAATTTTGCGTTTTTAGTGTGTTCACGTGTTTGTGAGTTTGTTGCCGTCGGGCGGCGGCCGGTGATGTTCTTTGAATGCCAATAATTAAATGACTTGTGAAAAACTTTTATATCATCAGCAGATGATTATGGACTAATGTGCTACATGGTAAATATTGTCATTCCTATCATTACTATGTGAATAAAAGAAATTTTAATGTAAAAACTGGTTCCGATGGAACTCAGATTCACTTCAACATAGCACAAAATGCTGTTACTAATATTTTGTTTCTCATTTATTTCAGTATCTATCAACATATCTTCGATTTACGGTTCTGCATAACTGGTAAGTAAAATAATTTTATTATTTATAAAAAGAGTTCCTAGATTTCAGATTAATTAGTACCAAATGACAAAATTCTGTCAGAAAATTACGAATGGAAATTTGAAGGATCAATAAGACATTGTTCTCAACTTCTTATCTTAGTAAGATTTGTATATCACTTAAATACTTGATGTAAAATCGGGAAATCTTTCCGCATAACAATTTAGAATTACGTAAATTGAATTTTATGTTGTCATTAATTTTAATAAGTGATTTAAATTGAGGGACTACTACTTATATCATTTATTGATGGCATTAGCATGAAGTTAAAATCGTAAAATAGATTTGTATTGTTTATTTCTATATTTATCAGCAAACGACACGACACGAGAATTGTGTGTTTTCGTTGCCATCCTCTCACGTCTCGCCCTACTGGTGTTCGAGTGTAGTAGATTAAGAATCTTCAATTCTGTCTATAACTTTTAGTTTTCGTAATATTCGCGAACAAAAGTACAAGGTAAAATATGAAAAAGCTCCACTTTTACCATTTTTAATAACATTCGGAAATGGAAATTTCGAAAGTCTCATAAAAAATAAATTATAACGTAAGAATTACTCAACTAAAATGCCGTTTAGCGAGTTTGAAACTTCATATACTATTTTTTTAGCTTAGTATACAAAATTGCAATACTATATGTAAATGGAAACCGCTTTGTTTTTAATCTTTAATTTTAACCTTAATTAGCGTGCGCAAGAAAAGAGCAGCCTTCAGCTCTGCGTCAAGAAAAATGACAAAATTGTGCACTTTTGTGTGATTGTATGTATTGAAGTATTATAATTCAATGAAATAATTCATTTTTGTTGATTATTGCTTTCTGTGGAAGCTTGGGAAAACGTATTTCCAGCAGACATTTTGCGATTAATACAGATTGCAAAACACCACTTTAATAGGTAATGTAAATACGCGCAATATTTCATTAATTAACAATCTTAATTCCGGGACTTCTAGGTGTAACATTCACAGATGGCAGAAGCATAAACGTTCGTATTCGGCACGAGAATTTTGTTTTGTTTTTGTGTTTGTTTTAAACACAATTTACTTTCTTATCGCTTCCGCCGCGTGGAATGCAACGCATAAGATTCTCGAGTGTCGTCGTTGCAAACCTCTTACACCGCATGCAGCATATTCACGTTTAGTTTAGATCGTGGGTATCGGGCCTACTGCAATTCGCGCACAAGGTCGCGCGCCATGGGCGCATCGGTTTTGCGCATCTCTTGCTTTCTTATCGTGAACTGTCGCGTCGGTGTTAGCTCGGCTACGGCGTGCACTATCCGTGGATTGCGCTCAGTGTCGTGCCGGTCCGCGGGTAATTCAGACGTGTTTCTCGCGACTTCGTTTGTTCGGACTTGTGCTTTTTAAATTTGCATTATATTCGATCGCCAATAGACGATTTAGTTTTAACTTGTGACTATAGTATTGTTATTGACTATTTGCATCTTTATTGTCCGTAAATGCCGGTTAAGTGAATATTGCAACTCACAAGACGTCGAGTTGCTATGTGCATCAGCCCCTGTGAGAGTGTTGGAACGCATATAATCCTGGTATGGTATCAATACTTGCTTGTTCTAAAACATTCGTGCTCGTAGCTCGTACGCCTTTTTAATCATTCCGCGCGGACGGCATCACATAGGTATCCTTGACCGGCGTGACGAGTGATGCGGAATTAAATTCTCCTTTGGGTTGTGTTTGTTTATTGCAGGCATTCGACCTGCAACCTGCGAAAATGTGTAGGTAATTTTTCAATCCTTTTTCGTGAAATGTTTGTGTTTTTTTGGGTTAGCTCGCGATCTAAGCGGCGTAGTAATTTCAGGGGGACTTCTGGAGATGCGGAATTAAATTCTTCGTCAGGTGGTATTTACATCTTGCAGGATTTCTACATGCAACCCGCGAAAATTTGCATATAAGTGTAATTTTTCATCGCTTTTTCGTGAAATGTTTGTGTTTTTGTGGGTTAGCTCGCGATCTAAGCCGCGTAGTAACTTCAGCGGGGCTTCCAGATATGCAGAATTAAATTCTCCGTCGGGTGGTATTTACATCTTGCAGGATTTCTACATGCAACCCGCGAAAATTTGCTTATAAGTGTAATTTTTCATCTCTTTTTCGTGAAATGTTTGTGTATTTTTGGGTTAGCTCGCGATCTAAGCGGCGTAGTAGCTTCAGCGGGGCCTCTAGAGATGCAGAATTAAATTTTCCGTCGGGTGGTATTTAAATCTTGCAGGAATTCTACTTGCAACCCGCGAAAATTTGCATATAAGTGTAATTGTTGAACCCTTTTTCGTGAAATGCTTGTGTTTCTTTGGGTTTGCACGGGAGCTAGGCAGCGTAGTAACTTCACCGGGGCGTGTAGAGATGCGGAATTAAATTTTCCGTCGTGTGATATTTAATTGTTGCAGGAATTTGACCTGCAACCCGCGAAAATTTGCATATAAGTGTAATTTTTCAACCAATTTTAGTGAAATGTTTGGGTTTTTTCGGGATTGCACGCGAGCTAAACGGCGTAGTAATTTCAGCGTGGCGTCTAGAGATGCGTAATTAATTTCTCCGTCGTGTGGTATTTAATTGTTGCAGAAATTTCACCTGCAACCCGCGAAAATTTGCATATAAGTGTAATTTTTCAACCAATTTTAGTGAAATGTTTGGGTTTTTTCGGGTTTGCACGCGAGCTAAGCGGTGTAGTAACTTCAGCAGGGTTTCTAGAGATGCGGAATTAAATTTTTCGTAGGGTGGTATTTAAATCTTACAGAAATTCTACCAGCAACCCGCGAAAATCTGTAGATAAGTGTAATTTTTCATCCCTTTTTCGTGAAATGTTTGTGTTTTTGGGTTAGCTCGCGATCTAAGCGGCGTAGTATCTTTAGCGGGCCTTCTAGAGATGCGGAATTAAATTTTCCGTCAGGCGGTATTTAAATCTTGCAGGAATTCTACCTGCAACCTGGGAAAATTTACTTATACGTGTAATTTTTTTATCCCTTTTTCGTGAAATGTTTTGGTTTTTTTGGGTTTGCGCGCGATCTAAGCGGCATAGTAACTTCAGCAGGGTTTCTAGAGATGCGCAATTAAAGGAATTCTACCTGCAACCCGCGAAAATTTGCATATAAGTGTAATTATTCATCCCTTTTTCGTGAAATGTTTTTTTTTTCGGGTTTGCACGCGATCTGGGCGGCGTAGTAATTTCATCGTGGCGTCTAGAGATGTGGAATTAAATTGTTCGTCGGGTGGTATTTAATTGTTGCAGGTATTCGACTTGCAACCGACAAGAATTTGCATATAAGAGTAATTTTTTAAACTATAATATGTGATATTTTTGCCTGTTTGTGCGTTTGTCGGTTAAAATATTGCGTATAATACAAGACACTATCCGACGGGTAGACTTAAGAAGTGCGACGCAGCACAGTTCGTAATCTAACACACGTGTTTTTTTTTGTTTCAGTGCTTCTTTTGATTACCCTGTGTTTCGGTAAGTTGTAAAATATTATTACATCATTATCACATTGATGTCTTTAGTCGCATGTAACGAGAGTACCGTAATACTCGTAAGTCAAAATTGTCGCGTGCCGTCGACTGCGTTTTCGATCTTGCCTGTGAATGTGGTTTTCACTGTTATTATCAGCTCTTATTGTTCTTTTGCATTCAAAATACTGTAATCGCGATAACGCGTTTAAAAACAATTTCAATATCTTAACGCAAATCGTGTATCATGCCGTTGGTTAGCACTTTTCTATGGTTGAGCCGTATCAGGAGACCGCGTCGCAAAGAAAATCTAAATATGCAATAAAATTCATTATGGTGTTTTATTCTTATAAAACAATTGTATATATATCATCATCATACCTTCTCTACTTTTACTTTTCTTAAATATTTTCTCCCGCTTTGGTATTGTATTAGTAGTTGCTAGTTGTATTTCTGTTGTGTTGCCTTCTTTTCACTTTTCTTTGATATTCGTTGGGAAACTTGTAAAATTTTGCATTTGTTAATTTTGTTGATTATTTCTTCCGATTTTTTTTTAAATGCATAGTCTCATTTTCCTATTTGTAACATCCTGTATATGGGCTTTTCTTGATCAACAAAAATTTATAAAAATTAATCTTTTTGTATGTTTTGATCGTGGAATTTTATATTAAATGCTTAAATTTTCTTTATGTATCACCCTGTATATTTATTTCCCCCTGATTTCCAGTCAGTACTTGACTATAATTGTTTTTTCCAGATGTTTTCTCCTTGATCGTAGTATTTTAATTTTAAAACTAGTAATTTTCCTTTTATGTCACCCTGTATACTCGTTTTTCTTCATTCCCAATCTGTCACTGACCAAGTTTGTTGTCCGGGTGTTTTCTATTTTGAACTTTATATTTTCTTTCTGTATCTCCCAGTATATCACTTTTCCTTAAATCCTGGTTAATGTGGGGAAAATTTATTGTTATAATCTATTGCTCTTTTTTGAATCATTGGTTTTCTTTTTTTAACATTATCCTTTATTTACAGAACAGTATTCTTACATGTATCATAAAATCAATCCAAATGTATATGTATAATTTAACAGAAGAAATTTTGTACCTGATGTTACATACTTCTTTGTTGTTCGGCTTATGAAGTACCAAAGCGCATAAAGCATTACTTTTGCACTGGCAACAATACCCCACAGAGCAAACGCGTGATTTATCTTCACAAATTAACAATTGAATAATGTTGACCAGTAAATCCAATTGGAACGGAAGAGATCCGACGGCCGGTTGCCAATGCCATACACATGGGGAGGTCTCTTAATTCTGGAGTCGATTCGCGATAAATCACTTAGTCAGTAGTCGATGGCATACGATTCTAATGCTTGTACCGTATTAAAGCAACAGAATTGCTAACAATCGCGATGAAGATCGACGGAGAAAAATAACACGTGCACTCCCCACAACTGCGTATCACCGACTGACTTAACGTACGGACGCCGGACGCACTTGAAGCCGGCAACCGGCACGGTACTTTTCGAATGGCAGCGCAGAGTATGCTGCGCAAATTATTCCTTCAAAACACAAAAATGCTATTTTTGTTACTAATTAATAAACTAATCACCAAAGTTTTTTATGAAAATGTTAAAGAAATTTAATACTTACAATCGCATATAAGAATGATTCTCCTAAGACGTCGGGTTCAGGTTCAAAACACCAAAAACACAAAAATTCGTTCTTCGGAACACAAAAATGCAATTTTTAAAGGTAATTAATAAACTAAACACCTAAGTTATTTATGAAAATGATAAAGAAATTTAATACTTATAATCTGATACAAGAATGGTTCTCCTACGATGTCGGGTTCAGGTTCAAAACACCTAAAACAAGCAAAAATTAGTCATTCGAAACACAAAAATGCAATTTTTGATGCTGATTAATAAACTAATCACCAAAGTTATTTATGAAAATGTTAAGGAAATTTAATACTTACAATCTGATACAAGTAAAAGTTTGAGAGCGATTTTAAAGCACTTTCAGGGTATTTTCGGGGGCGGCAATGTCACATTTTATAAAATCACGCTCAGTGCCGGACAAAAACAAATTCCTAGCGCAACGAGTACTACGGCGCTCACACACAACTTTGAATATAACTCGCGTTATGGAATTTGATGGCAATAAATTTCAATACAGGGTGATACAGAAATAAATTCCGCATCAGGATAAATAATTTCGAATTTACTGTGACACCGCGTTCGTGTGTTATAACAAAAATTACAATTCCTTGCGCAACGAGTACTACGGCGCGCACACACACACCTTTGAATATAACTCGCGTTACGGAATTTTATGGCAATACATTTCAATACAGGGGGATACAGAATTAAATTTCGTATCAGGGAAAATGATTTCGAACTTATTGTGACACCGCGTTCACGTGTTATAACAAAAAACTGCAGTTCCTAGCGCAACGAGTATTACGGCGCACACACACACAACTTTCAATATAACTTGCGTTACGGAATTTTTTGGCAACAAACTCCAATACAGGGTGGTACAGAAATAAATTCCGCATCAGGATAAATAATTTCGAATTTACTGTGACACCGCGTTCGAGTGTTATAACAAAAAAACTACAATTCATAGCGCAATGAGTACTACGGCGCACACACACACCTTTGAATTGGATCTGATCGCAGCGCCTTAATCTACGGACTAATCTCTATCAGATAGGATAGTTAAAACGGAGAGATGAAATTTTAAGTCATAAGAAAAAATTGCCAATATAATTCAAAAATTAATATCTCTTAAACTAAAAAGAGGCCGCTACCAACAGGTATTGATTATGAAAGATTAGGAAGAATTCTCTATCAGATAAAAATATAAAAATAATTATATTTCCCACCTACAGTAAAAGGTCCGAAAAAACACTGACTAAAAAGTGCACAAAAGTGACATTTGCAATTTTGCCCATTTTATTCAATCACTTGAATATCCTCGTAAACTAAAAGATAAGCCGGAGAATCTGGTCGCAGCGTGTAATCTACGGACCAATCTCTATCAGATAGGATAGTTAAAAGGGAAATCTGAAGTTGAAATTTTAAGTCTTAAGAAAAAATTGCCAAGGGGTGCTTGACACTTTTTTTCGACGATTTTCAAAAATTCATATCTTTTTAAACTAAAAGAGATAGCTGCTTAACAGGTAGCCAAGGTATAAATTGGAAAATTCTCTATCCAGATAAAAAATATAAAAATAATTATATTTCCTACAGTAAAAGATCGAAAAACACTGACTAAAAAGTGCTAAAAGTGACATTTTGCAATTTTTGCCCATTTTATTCAATCGCGAATATCTCGTAAACTAAAAGATAAATAAAAGATCTAATCGCAGCGTCTTAATCTACGGACCAATCTCTATCAGATAGGATAGTTAAAAGGGAAATCTGAGAGATGAAATTTTAAGTCTTAAGAAAAAATTGCCAAGGGGTGCTGATACTTTTCGACGATTTTCAAAATTCATATCTTTTTTAAACCAAAAGATAGCTGCCAACGAATTGTGATTATAGAGAAAGATTGGAAAATTCTCTATCAGATAAAAATATAAAATATAATTATATTTCCTACATTGAGTCGAAAAAACGCGACTAAAAGTGCTAAAAGTGACATTTTGCAATTTTTGCCCATTTTTATTCAATCGCGAATATCTCGTAAACTAAAAGAGATAAATAAGATCTGATCGCAGCGTCTTAATCTACGGACCAATCTCTATCAGATAGGATAGTTAAAAGGGAAATCTGAGAGAAGAAATTTTAAGTCTTAGAAAAATTGCCATGGGGGTGCTTGATACTTTTTTCGACGGTACTAAAAATTCATATCTTTTAAACCAAAAGAGATAGCTGCCAACGAATTATTGATTATAGAAAGATTGGAAAATTCTCATATCAGATAAAAATATAAAATAATTATATTTCCTACAGTAAAAGGTCAACGCGTAAAAGTGGTAAAAAGTGACATTTTGCAATTTTGCCCATTTTGGTGAAATATGAATATCTCGTAAACTAAAGAGATAAATAAGATCTGATCGGCGTGCTTAATCCTACGGACAATCTCTATCAGATAGGATAGTTAAAACTAAAATCTGAGAGATGAGAATTTTTAAATTATGAAAAAAAAAATTGCCAAGGGGGTGCTTGATACTTTTTTCATTGATTTTCAAAAATTCATATCTTTTTAAACCAAAAAGAGATAGCTGCCAACGGTAAGCCAGTTATGAAAGATTGGAAAATTCTCTATCAATTAAAAATATAAAATAAATTATATTTCCTACAGTAAAAAGATTGAAAAAGAAAACGCGACTAAAAGTGCTAAAAGTGACATTTTGCAATTTTGCCCATTTTATTCAATCGCGAACATCTCGTATATTAAAAGAGATAAATAAGATCTGATCGCAGCGTCTTAAATCTACGGACCAATCTCTATCAGATAGGATAGTTAAAGGAAATCTGAGAGATGGAAATTTTAAAGTGTAAGAAAAATTGCCAAGAGGGGTGCTTGATACTTTTTTCGACGGTGCAAAAAATTCATATCTTTTTAAACTAAAAGAGATAGCTGCCAACAATTATTGATTATAAGAAAGATTGGAAAATTCTCTATCAGATAAAATATAAAAATAATTATATTTTCTAGAGTAAAAGGTCGAAAAACGCGACTAAAAAGTTCTAAAAAGTGACATTTTAATTTTTGCCCATTTTATTCAATCGCGAATATCGTAAACTAAAAGAATAAATGAATCACAATCGCAGCGTCTTAATCTACGGACCAATCTCTATCAGATAGGATAGTTAAAAGAAATCTGAGAGATGAAATTTACAAAGTCGAAAAATTGCCAGGGGGTGCTTGATACTTTTCGACGATTTTCAAAAAATTCATATAACAGCAAAAGAGATAGCTGCCAACGAATTACATGATTATGAAAGATTGGAAAATTCTCTATCAGATAAAAAATGTAAATAATTATATATTTTCTAGAGTAAAAGGTCGAAAAACGGCTAAAAGTTCTAAAAGTGACATTTTACAATTTTGCCCATTTATTCAATGTGATATACGTAAACTAAAAGAGATAAATAAGATCTGATCGCAGCGTCTTAATCTACGGACTAATCTCTATCAGATAGAGATAGTTAAAAGGGAAGTACAAGAGATAGAAATTTTTAAGTCTTGAAAAAATTGCCAGGGGGGTGCTTGATTTTCGACGATTTTCAAAATTCATATCTTTTTTAGAAGCCAAAAAGATAGCTGCCAGCAGGTGTGAATTATGAAAGGTGGAAAAGAATTCTCTATCAGATAAAAATATAAAATAATTATATTTTCTAGAGTAAAAGGTCGAAAAACGCGACTAAAAAGTTCTAAAAGTGACATTTGCAATTTTGCCCATTTTATTCAATACTTGAAATATCGTAAACTAAAAAGATAAATAAGATCTGATCGCAGCGTCTTAATCTACGGACCAATCTATCAGATAGGATAGTTAAAAGGGAAATCTGAGATGAAATTTTAAGTCTTAAGAAAAAAATTGCCAGGGTACTTGATACTTTTCGACGATTTTCAAAAATTCATATCTTTTTAAACCAAAAGAGATAACACTTAACGAATTATTGATTATGAGAAAGATTGGAAAATTCTCTATCAGATAAAAATATAAAATAATTATATTTCCCACCACAGTAAAAGGTCGAAAAAACGCGACTAAAAAGTGCTAAAAGTGACATTTTGCAATTTTTGCCCATTTTATTCAATCGCGAATATCTCGTAAACTAAAAGAGAGATAAATAGATCGATCGTAGCGTCTTAATCTACGGACCAATCTCTATCAGATAGGATAGTTAAAAGGAAATCTGAGATGAAATTTTAAGTCTTAAGAAAAAATTGCTCAAAAATTCATATCTTTTAAACTAAAAGAGATAGCTGCCAACAAATTATTGATTATGAAAGATTGGAAAATTCCCTATCATATAAAAATATAAAATAATTATATTTCCTACAGTAAAAGGTCGAAAAACGCGACTAAAAGTGCTTAACACACGTTGACGCCGGCGCGGTTTTTGAGTGTCCGCCGCATCGGGCGGCGTTTGAGCAGTGTCCACTCTGTTTAATTAATTCAGCTGTGCGCCCTGGTTGTTATGTCTTGCTAAAGCAAAAAGCGATTGTTTTTGCAAGTGCGTCGCCATTTATTTATTTTCTTTGTAATGAATGCCTTTATCTTTAGAGTTTACCGAAACTATGTGCAAACTGAGATGGCAAGTGACGACCACGACTTAGCCGCGAGTTAGCCACGACTTTTGATATTTCACGAACACTGAGTTTTGGTTCTGCCACAAGTTTCAGCCAATTTTTGGCCGAAATCGAAATTGAAGCCGAGACTGAAATTTCGGTCGGTCACTATTTATTATAATATTTAATCTGAGTGACACATTTGGTGACAAAGATGCAAGACACTGATTGTATAGGTGAGACGAGAAGAAGATATAACTTAACCAGGGTGAAGCCAAAAATGACTGAAGTCTCGCCGCCTGTGAGCCGTGACCCACCGGTGGGTCACGCCGGCGTCAACGTGTTAAAAGTGACATTTTGCAATTTTTGCCCATTTTATTCAATCGCGAATATCTCGTAAACTAAAAGATAAATAGGATCTGATCGCAGTAGATCAGAGAGATGAAATTTTAAGTTTAAGAAAAAATAATTAAATTAAATATAATTTAATGCTAACGCTTTAGTAGAAGGCGGTGGACCGCGCCGAAAAAAAAACACATAAATGCAAAGTAATGATGGACGCAGAACATAAAACGAAATATATAATTGAATTATAAACTGACCAATGCAGAACTCATCAGACTCCAAAGCATGGCAAATGCTGTAAATAAAAAAATAGAAAACATAAGTAATATTATATTCACACAGCGGAGAAAAACAAACAATCTGGGCTGTTGAGTTAAAAGTTACTTACAGCAGCACGATGGATCATCCAAATGATAAATAAATCAACATGGCCGCTTACGCGCAAATAACTAATTCTACTGAACTTACTAAAGTCAAGTTAATGTGAAATAGTCGATTGATGATCGAATATAATACGAATTGGAAAGTAGAAGTCTGGATAAACGATACGAGTCGCACAAAATACGCCTGAATCAACTAGAGACCGGCACGAAACTGGCTACAATTCACCGATAGTGCATGCCGAAACTGCGCAAACAACGACGGGACAGTATATGATAAGAAAGCAAGATGTGCACAAGACCGGCGCGTCGATGGTACGCGACCTTGTGCGCGAATTGCAATAGATGCGCAAACCCGCGGTGCGTCGACGGCATGCGACCTCATGCGCGAATTGCATTTGGCACTTAACCTGGGATCAAAACTAAAAACAAATTTTGGCAACATGCGGCGTCCAGGTGCTTTAGCAACGACCTGCAGCAATGCGATAAAGAAGAGTGTATATTATGTTCAAACCAACACAATTCTTTATTTTACACTTTTTAGTCCATGCTATTGCCATCTATAAATGATACAGTAGTTTCGAAATTTAGATTAGTAAAGGTAATAGAAAACTTAAAATTCAATTTGCATAATTCTGTTTTCTTATGCTGACAAATTGCCAGATTTGACATTAAATATTTAAGTGAAATTTAATTTGAACATCCATCGTTTTTTTCACATTAGTCCGCAATCATTTGCAGATAATAAAAATGTATTAGAATTAATATAAAATTGTTAGTTATATTCACAGTGCCGGTTTTAACACTACCAGCGCCCTGGGCGGGAATTTCTACAGCGCCTTTAACTGCACGAATTCAAACCCATACAGAAAAAACCGACCAACTGCAGTCGCCACCGCCCCTTAAGTCCGGCGCCCCTGGGCGTCGCCAGCCGCGCGCCATGGCCTAACGCCGGTACTGTATATTCATGAAAGAATTAAAGAATATTTGCTTAAATTTACGATGCTAATATAATAAACAGCAACGGTGTGTTTTGATTCCACGAAAGAAAGATTCGATACGTGCAGGTTACCAAACTTATCTCTTGCGCGAAATCGCGTGATCGCACACGGACACGGTGTGCACGCACTACCACCAACAAGCAATATTGAATGCAAAACTAAATTATTTCGAACTAATTGTAACACCGCGTTCGCAAGTTATAACAAAAAAACTACAATTCCTGGCGCAACGAGTACTACGGCGCAAAACACAATTTTCAATATAGTTCGCGTTACGGAATTTTCTTGCAATAAATTTCTATACAGGGGGATATAGAATTAAATTCCGCATCGATGAAAATTATTTCGAGCTGATTGTAACATCGCGTTCGCGAGTTATAACAAAAACACTACAATTCCTAGATAATTAATATCTCTTAAACTAAAAGAGATAGCAACCAACAAATTGCTGATTATGAAAGATTAGAAATGTCTCTAACATAAATTAAAATGAAATATATAATTGAATTAAAAACTTACGAATTGTGCGCATCAGTCACCAAGGCACATCAAGTGCTGAAATTAAAAGAAAAGAAGTTGAAACATATCATAAGATTTAACAATAATATATTCATACATAATAAAAAATACGATGTGTGTTGTTGAATTAAACGTTACTTACACAAGGATAATGATAAATAAATCTACATTGGGGCCATGCTATATCCGATTCATTTCAAGACCGACACCGAACCTTTTAACTTACATAAGTATGCATATGAAACGCAATCAAATATCTTGCACTTTTGTACCATAATCCAAATTAAATTGTCGATTGATGATCGTATACAATGCAAATTTAGTAAGCAAAAATTCGAACAAACTATACGAATCGCGCAAAACACGTCTAAACCTACCAGCGACCGGTACGAAACTGGCTGCAAACCATTGATAGTGCATGCCGTAGCCGAGCAAACAACGACGCGACAATTAACAAGAAAGTAAGAGATGCGCAAATCTGATGCGTCGATGGCAAGCGACCTTGTGCGCGAATGATTGCAACGACAACACACGGGAATCTCATGCAATGCATTCCACGCGGCGAAAGCGATAAGAAAGTAAATTGTGTTCAAAACAAACACAAGTCTCGTGCCGAATGCCCACGTTTGCCGATAAATATAGAAATAAACAATACAATTCTATTTTATGATTTTTAGTTCATGCCAGTGACATCTCTATATGATACAGGTAGTAATCCAGTAATTTAGATTATTAAAATTAATGAAAGATTTTACAAAAAATCAGAGAAAAACACGAAAAATCTATCCTCTTTGTACTTTTGGCGACAATTTTTGAACTTAATATATTTTATTATCTTGTTCTATAAAAAAATTTATAGAACAATTTATATAAAAATCAATAAAAAAGGTTTTATAATCTACGAAGGTAGCGGTAGAAGTGACTTGTGTTCAGAGCACCGTAGGGGGTGAGGGTAGAAGTGACTCGCATTCAGGATACCGTACAAAGGTAGCGATAGAAGTGACTCCCGCTTAGGGCACCATACGAAGAAGAAGGTAGCGATAGAAGTGACTCCTATTCTCTCTTAGCTAAGCTAGTTTAATTGCAAATGCGAAACGTAATTATTCGCATAGGACAAATGGGAACTAAAAGCGCTAGCGACCAGCCAATTCACAAAGATTATGAAAGTTCATGAAGCAGAAAGATATTGCAAATACCAGCATGCAGCGCGAAGGCTCACACACACGTACAGGAGTGCCACTAACAGACACGTACAGAAGCATGAACTGAGAAATCACCTGACAATATTATTCAATTTTGTGCATCCTGGCGCAATCTATGCTCTATTCGAAGAGTTTTAGATAAAATGCGTGTTGTGCGAGGTCTCATGCGGTCACTAGTTTTATATCTACAATAATTTTTGATTTTAGGAATAATTTGAATAAATACCAAGCCAATTTACTTTCCGCGCTTAATATTCGTCATTATATTGCACCGTATTTGATTAAATATTATTCTAAATAAATATATACAGCTTGTAGGTGAATAAATTTGACTGCGACCGAAAATTAATTCGAAGTTAATAAATATTAATTGATAATGTGATAATCAGGAATGATAAACAGTATTTGAGAATGCAACCTATTTAATTTCAACGTAACGCACAAATATTATAAATCCGTCGGCAACTATTCCTTAGTCACGTACTGGCGAATGTATCTACTATTCAATACGAATCCAGCGGAAATAATACATTAAAATGTTGATTACCTGTGATAATACTCCGATTAGTGAAATTATTCAAGCGGTTCTATCGTCTGCGGATGACGAATATAATTTGCATAAATTGATGAACACAAAACACCCACGAAACATTAAATCTTTGCGGATATCCAAACGCGACCGCAGAGAATAGGGCAATTAGCACTGAACACCGAATATAGCTTTTAGCATGAGTCACGGAATTAAAATCTCAAGGAAATGCAGCGAATCAAGAGAATGAACCCGCGCAGCTCGTCGACCGGCGATAGACTGGAATAAGTGTAATGTAAGCACTGCGAGCGGTGTAGAATGGCAACAACAGAATCCGTCTGACGACACTATACTGAATGTACCGATAAATCAACCGGTTCAATATTGTAATAGGGCGTGACACAATTAAGTACGTACGGGTGGTGTGGATTCACTATGCTGAAACATGCGAGCACCAGCTCAATCACTGTTTTGTTGCAATCCGCAAACGGCACCGTGAAAAAAAACATAATGAAAATGCAATGATATTCTTAGTTCTTATTTGAATATTCTATTCTTGAATAAACTTACATTAGAATTTTAAACTGCAACAGTTTATGTATAATTCTTAGAAAGAACTCGTAACGTAAAACGATGATTCGATTTTTGTATGTAAACAACTTTATCTCTTGCGCGAAATCGCCTGATCTCACACCAACATGATGTGCACATACTACCAAAACCAAATCATCTTTAATGCAAAATAAATTTGCACATCCTAGTGCCACATCTGCCCGAATTGATGACCTATATTTAGATATGCTACTCATACTCAATAAATTAAAAATAATAAACGCAGGTAAATATGAATGCGATCATTATATTCAACCAAAACGAAAAAAAAAGATAATTGTCGCGTAAAATTAAATGATAAATTAATGAAAAATTAAAATTCGATTTGCGTAATTATGATTTCTTGTATGCGGATACATGATGTGAATTTTAAATCAAATATTTAAGTGATATCTGCTTAAGTGATCTGCTGATGATAAATGTTTTTGCTGATGATTTTTATAATAAACTATTACACGTAATGTAAAATTGTAAGTTATATTCATGATTTGTGAATTTAAGAATACTAGCTTAAATTTACGATGCCAATATAAACTACAACGATGTGATATCTGCAGGTATATACACGGTGTGCACTCACTACCACCAACAAGCAGTATTTAATGCAAAACCGTACATCGTAGCGCCATCTAACCTTTGAAAATATTTATCAACTTCAAAGCACATTTATGAAATATGCAACAAAAATATGCAAAAAAGTCAATACATATCTGGAAATGAGGTAAATAAGAGCAGTACGTGGATAAAACGGGGGAAAAACAAATTCCTAGCGCAACACCACTGATGTTGACGTTTAAATGAAGCCATGAAGCAATAAATTTGACTCACCGGGGTCAAATGATGATTCCACATCTTCAAAACCGGCGAATATAAAGTCCAAAGTGTGCGTGCACAATGTTCGTTTCGCGAAATCTTGACAATAACATCTATTTTGAACTATTAAACGGACTAATTCCTAGCGTGCAGGCGAGCGAATTCGTGAGTGCGAAAATGGCATTGACGCCAAGCACAGTCTTGCCAACTTAAATATTGAATATTCTCACAACGTGAGAGTGGGAGTATGGCTGATACTGAGCCATTCAAAAACATATCTTACAGAAATTGCCAGGATTAGGATTTAAAATATTGCAGTTTCATTCAAATAATTAATATAACTACCCATAACTTAAATAATTAAATATAGCCCATAGTTATCACAACAATGTTATTATTTTATAAATTAGTATTTTACTTTCACGGCGATCCAGTATATTACGCAAAAATACCCGGCACCTCTAAGCTCCTACGAGAAACTTGTGTAAAGTACACACTGGAAACCTCTATAAAAGTAAACCTTGATACGCAATAAACGTATTAATGAATAACCAGTCGGTTAGCTAGGCAGTGTTCAACTAAATTGGTAGCAAATATATCAAAGTGTTATCCAGAATAGGGCCAGGATGGCTTCTTCCCGACGTACAAAACGCAAAACGACGCGCAAAGATAACAAGACTCTTGTCGAATGTGAATATAAACCACAACTTATCACAAGCTTAATTAAAAGTGCCCCTGAGGTTCAGACATGGCTTACCAAAGACGAAATCCGCATTGTCGCATTGAAGACGAGGACGAAAGAGTATCAGGTACACAGTGCACGATTCCGTAAAACTTTGGATCCTGACATCTCTTATGATGTATTAAGCATCGAGCGCATTGAAAATCCTTGCCTAATGGCAGGATTTGTTCTGAAACGCATGGAGCTTAAATCCATGCAACCGAAACATCCAGTTTATACCAGGACGATGTTCCACGCAACGAAACGTTCTGCTACCAACCAAATCATACTACATAATTTCGATTGGAGGATGTCTGGACAGAAACGAGGTGATAAATGGGGACATGGCATTTCCTTTTCACCGCATTCGGACTTTGCAGCCAAATTCACGCGCAGTTACAATGGTGTTTGTTGCATGTTACTCTGCTACATGTTACAACGCCGCGCCATGATTGGAAGCAGAGGACTTGAGGTGCCTGATGATGAATACGACACGACGAAGAGTAAGGACAACAAAGTCTACGTCAAGTTCGATGATTACACTGTCTATCCAGCATACAGGATTACCTATAGGATGTATACTGACTGAATATACACTGTTTTAAATCGAGTCAACAGTCAGTTTATGTAAACGATAGTTTTAAGTTTAAGACAAACATTATGGAATACAGAATGTTACGTAAATGTGTAAAAAATCAATTATATACCTTCCTTCATTATAGTTATCACTTGTGCTATAATGCAGCAGTCTCATCTTCCTCCTTAACGTGCGTTTTCATGTGTTGCGCAAGTCCATCTTTGCGATTAAACGTCGCCAAGCAAATCGGACATTGCTCCTTGTTCACCTCGTGAATTCGACTATGTCGCAATAATTTATCCTTGCGACTGAAGCGTTTATCACATCTTGTGCACTCAAACTGTTTAATACCTGTGTGGGTAGCACTATGGCGGTCCAATTCTCGCTTTCGCAAGAATGCTTTGCCGCAAATGTTGCAGCCAAATGGGCGTTCGCCATTGTGTAAACCCATGTGCAGATTCAACCCGTCTGTACTACGAAATGTTTTGTTACACAACGAGCATGGATATCGCAGTACCTCCCCGTTGGATTCATTGTTTAAATAATACTCGTTTCTATCGTCATTATTTTTCTCCGGACTGGAAATATTCGAATTGTTACCTAGGTCAGACTCTGTACTGTTATTGAGATTATCCGGTTCGTTTTCGGTTGAAAACGGGTCAATATTAATCACCATATTCTCAGTGCTAGGCCAATCATCCTTCTCATCCTTAGTGGCATCCGTTTCAGGTTCATCATCCGCCGGTGCTGGCTCAATATGATTGTCGTTGCTATCCTGCGCAATGGCAAAATACTCATTCATGAGACTCTCTCGCATCGCCTGTAACTCCAAAGCAGTGTCTGCTGTTCTCCTGCGGCAAATGGCGCTTCTGATGCCGTTGCAGTTTGTCTTTTCGCATGAAACTCATATCACACTTATCACACTTGAATGGTTTCACGCCGGCATGTTGCACTGCATGTCTAGTAAGCTCCAGCTTTGACATGAAAGTGCGCGGGCAGCTGTGACATACAAACGGTTTCTGACAGCACGGTAGGATTCAGATAATGCTTGGAGAGAGGTTGGTATTCACGAGAAACTCTTACCGAAGCGCAAATCAGGGCATGTATACGGTTTGATGCCTGTATGCACAATTGTATGTTTTCGTAGATCCGAACGGCGTGCAAAACTGCGATCGCACTCAGGGCACGCGTATGGTTTATCATTCTGATGGGCTGTTTTCAAATGCGACGAGTACGCGTTACGATCTGCATAGCTCTGTTCACACACAGCGCAGCGATAAGGAGTTTCGGCATCGTGATCTTCATCCTCATGCCGTGTACATTCAGTCTTGTCGGTGAAGGCTCTATCACAGTAATTGCACATATGCACATTCTTGTATTCAAAAGTGTCGATTGTGTCCAATGTCTCAACGTCGCTCAGAGGTTGTTCAGCGGATGGTAATACAGTAGAAGGCGTGTTATGAACATCAGAATCACAGTCAGATTCGTAGTCCATTGCATTTGGTCCAACTACCATTACAACATTACTTTCTTTAGTTGGTTGTAGAGTGGTTTGTATCTCCTTAGACAACCCATTGATTTGTCGTAGCGTAGCATCGGAAACAAAGCATTGCTGGCGGAATTCCAAACAAAATTCGATTTTGTATAAGCACCGGTGGCAAATTGAGTTTGGCAAACCATCGCCGCACGAAATCTAAAAATGTATAAATTTGAATTTGTTGAATTTGTGTATTGTGGGTTGCCTATACTGATATTATATTAATGATCGGTGAAGGAAAGGATGCCGGTGATTCTAGGGTTAAAATCAGTTGAAATCGAATCAACAAAATAGAATACCCCACAAATTTTTCTGCGGTTATTCAAATGAATGCGCTCACCTCTAATGCAGTACAGTCCATGATTTTCTTGTGTATGCTGCTGTCCTTTCCCTGAATGTGATTGAATATGCCAAGCATAAAACCGTCGCGCTGCATACACAGGCGACAAATTGTTGTGTAACTTTGCCATTCTTCAATGCCGTTCAGACCGTTCATCCTCAGCGAGCTCAGCTCCGGGAGTCGCAATCGGACGTCGTTCACAGCGACCAACGGGCACAATATGTGAATCAATGTATGCCCGCACACAGCTGCTTCTCGAACGTCACTTGCAAATCACGGATTGCCAAAGGCAACGCGCCGCAAATGTTTGCACACACTGGTGCTGCGAATTTGTTATTACTGCGTGCGTGATTCAAATTACGTTAATTATTCGAGGTGCGAGCGATGCGTTGGCCACACACGAATGAAACGGTGTGCGAAAAGGGGCACCGCCTTTGCGACAAACGGTACGCACGCAGACAGGCACTGCTCGGCGGCGCGAGGCTTCGACGGGCTTGCACACCGGTCGTCGGGGGTCGACGACGTCAGGCTTGCGCGTGGCCCCCTTTTTGTGGCGCATGAGAACTTGCCTCGCGTTGATACCAATACGTTTTGCCATTTCACTGCGTGCACTCATATTACGCGCAACGAAGGCGAAGTAAATATAACATGAGACCGAAATGCAACGATGAACTTCAATAAAACCACGTGCAGTTAAGGCCATCTTAGTTTCTGACGCCGCCAAATTTACAATAATATCAATGAAAAAATTTAGTGGTTAGAACCAACAACAAATGTTGCATTGAAAACAAAAGCCGTAACTGAGTGAATCAACGGAAATAGTCACTTACCATTTTGTTACACTGATACACTATTCTTCCTGCACTACACATACTCCAAAAATTCAATACAATTTTAACTAAATTTCGATCTGTTTCGATCGATTGCAAATACAAACGTGTTTGATTTAACGGACAAATGTTTATTTAATATTCAATGTGACTCGCCGAGGTACAGGCAGCGCCCTCTACCGTAATTTATATTTCCAACATGCAACTAAAGCATAATTTTATATTTACAATGATTTACATGCAATTTTAAACTCTTTAGCCTCTAAACTGCTGTTGATTTTGTTGTTGCCTGCTATCAAAATTAGGATTGTAATTCTGAGCGCACCCGGTGACGTTCTCCGCTCCATCACAAGTATTCGTCAGCTCGTTGAACGCTTGCCCCTCACCGCAAACATATGCGCGTGGTTTACCCTCAATACAAACGAAGTACCGCTGGCAGTCGGCGGGCGAACGGAAAAAGCGGTACTCTTCGCCGAAACCAAAGAAGCCCTTAGCAGGTGGTGGGCATGAGAACCCTAAATATGCTTCCGCGTCACAATCGGGTACCTGATCGGGCCAATCGCAGCGGTAGCTTGCGGCGTTGAACGCCAAACCTTCAGGACAATCGAATGTGAAACCACGCCCGGCAGCGCAGTTCATGAATTGCCCGCAGTGCGTGGCGTCGCCCAAACGGAAGTAGCCATATTGATGCGGGCATTCTTCGGTTGGCTGAGCAGGTTCTATAGAGTATATTCAATATAATATCTGTTAATGTAAGAATTAATATTAATTTACGTGTTGCAGTACGTCCGGCACAATCAACATCGATGGGATATTGACATGGATATCCACGTACTTCTGGATTGAAGAGCAGACCATCTGGACATAGTTTTTCTTCACCGACACCATCTTTACATTCAATATAACTACAAAAACATGAAATTAAACACAAAAACAACAAATTTATCAAAACTATAAATTACCCATCACAAGTCGATGTTGGAAAAGTTCCATTACGTTCCGGACAACTCACACCACCACCGCCAAGGGGCGCTGCAGGCGCATTATTGTAATTTGTATTATAGTTCTGTTGATTACCGCCGAATCTTTGACAGTGCGCTGCAACCAAACAAGCAAATTATAAACTATAAACGTGACGTAAAAGCAAATTATGTAAATTAGCGCAACATCCTTCATTTGTCTTTTTTGTGTGTGACCTTTACTAAACCATTATTATACACATTGTACAAAATGTTTATTTAGATGTAATTGGATGATTAAATCATCAAAATACTAGTTTATACAATTTGTAAAATGGATGTTAATATTGTTATAAATGTCAAACTTTCACATACTGTGAATCTTGTGCATCTTCATCTACCAGTCTTTGTGTTGTACAACATGGATCGATTTGAAATGTTACTCCTTGACATTTTTAAACCTGTATAGCTTCAACTAGTTTTAAGCATAGAAATACATTTATAAAACCTTCTCCATTAAAATTTTAAGTAATTTTAAACTAAAATTAATCGCCAATTGTAATTTTTACTTTGTTTGATAAATTAAATTTGATATTGCACAATATAATTCAGTTTACGATCGATTTTGTAATGGAATTACACAATTCAAAAGCATTTACATGCTGTTTTCTTAATTTGATCGTGCCATTAGTGTGTTTTGGGTTGCAAAACAATTTTTATGATGTTTTGTTCTATTGTTCGATGAATATGTCGATGTGGTTGTACTTACAAATGGTAATTAGAGTGATGATTAAAACGAGGAGTCCTTTCATGATGCCGCTTTGATTCTTCTTTTATTTTGCTCTTCCACTGGCGAGAATTGAACGCTTTAACGCCTTCGAGTTGATTGGTGTCTTAATTGTTACAAGGCGCGTGGAGCGCGAACACGAATGAACACCAGCGATGCGCATCACGGCGTCATATAGGTACGCGATTGAGAATCCATGAATCGAATCTGTGGATTAATTCCAAGGACGATTGGTTAATGAAAAACCATTCGGAGTTGGTAAAGAATCTTCCAAAGTTCTGACTAATGCGTGTCATTTCTGAACTTTGTCACGTTTTCATGTTTGGAATAGAATAACATGCGATAGAATCTTCAAGATGGCGAATATTAATGATTTTTGGTGTATGTGTGACGTCATTAAAGTGTATATGAAATTGGTTCTTATGCAATTTGTCGCATTGTGTATTAGTATTTACCATTCGACTTGCTAAACTTTGTGTTGCAGTGTTTGAATTTCACTTTCGAAAGGCGTGCCACAAGATGAGTCAAAAAGATGGTAAAACCGACGGAACAAGAAAACTAAAAACTAAAATGTTGAATTCATTAACATTTGTATTCAAGATTGATTTAATCAATAACTATTTTTTGTATGAAACTTTTTTTAACGCGATGAAAATAAGCAAAACTCAAAAAATGACTAAAACACTGCAACATGACATAAAAACTACTTCCGGTCACGCATTTGTTCCATTTTTCAGTGATTTAACATCCGGTATTCGATACCAAACAACAAAAACATCCTCTTTTCATCCTCTTCTTTGTGTGAATAAAAATAGATTTATTTATCCTACGTTTCCTTCAGTCGTTCAATCCACTCCTGTCCGTCTCGTCTCGTCGTCGTGTCCTTTAAGGAAAACGACCACGCCACAAGTATGCGCCTTCGATGTCCCACGTCGTTCGGCTTCTGTCTGTTTGTTTATTTGTTGCTGGAAAGCGATCGCTATGTTTGCCCTCTCATAAAATATGAAAGCGTGTGGGCGGCGAGAATCCAGCACAGATAGAGTCACCCTATCCATGGCGGCCATTTTTCATTCCCCATTTCTCTGCAGCTGTTGTATGTATGCGTAGTTCCACCTGAATGCAGATGACAATGCAAACAAATCAACAGACAAACAATAACTACATAAACACTGTTAGCCGGTTGAATTAACAGATATAATCAATAATTTGGAAGGCAAGTGAACAACAAAACCATTTCGGGCGTATAATGGTACTCACCTTGATAAAGTATAATTTTCGTATAGATTAGAATCCAAACAAAAACAAAATTAGAGAAAAAAGAACAAGCGCGGAATGACATCAACAAAGAACATAAAATCGATTGTTAACCTAGAAAATTATACCGCTTATTTGTGTACCACTCCACAAAAACCAAATTAATTTATGTTTTCATAGTATTTGTAGGTTAAAATTGTGAAAATATGCTCAAAACACTTTCCTTAATTAATATGAAATTATTTCCAGTGTGTTCCATCAAACATATTAATTAACTCTTTGAAAATTTCTACGTTTTCATGTTTTGTAGTCTATTAATTAATAAATGTCACGTTTGCTGTTAATCAGAGGAAAAGCGATCATTTATAGAAGATAATTTAATGTTTTTATGCTTTGCCGGTAGTAATAGAGTCAATTGACGTTTTCAAACGTATTTATTTCGCATCTCACGCAAAGTAAATAATCAAACAGTCAAAGTAATGCATCTATTTTTGGCAATTGGCATACAATATGACGTAGCTCTATCCTCAATTCATATAAAAACGCTGCGCGCACTTGTTCTCTTCGCATACAAGATAAAATATCGTATTTTCAAGTTTAATACATTTTAGGAGTATGTATAACAGTACAAAAATTAATATACTCTCATATTTGCTTGTCTCTCATAGCTTCTTACAATTTGTTTCCGCTTTAATAATAATTTACGTTTATTTCTGTGATTTCATTTAATGATAAATATATTACTTCCGGTTTAGATGTCAAGTGTGATTCTCGCATGATTAAGTTAGGCCAGGGATTCCCAAACTTATCGCAACTTACAATAATGCTCGATAGGTGGCGTATGCTTTGGGAAACCCTGAGTTAGGCAATGAATATTTAAGATACGAATTTCGTTTAAATTTCATTTTGACGAGTTTTACTCGTGTCTTGCTCTTCGTTTGCACTTGCAACGATAACATTCTAAATCACCATGTGAATAAGGCACATCAACGATTAAATCAACTTCTAGTAAGTCAAACATAGGTGCATGATTAATGCATTTAAAGTGATGATATGAATGAGATTGTTTTGAAAGTACATTTTGAACAAAATATTAAAACAAAATAATGACCAGGACACAATATTTCACCCAGCTTTCAGTTCCCAGTCATTTCCTAAACTCGGCCATTGGCGATTGAATAATTTATGCGGATAATTACGTCCTATGTCGTTGTAATTTAAAATGTAGCACATAATTAAAGTTTTCTTGCTTCTTCAATTATGAATGCTTTCACAGGTGATACCTTCTGGCAGCCATTTAAGATTCCATGAAAAGTGAATAACTCGTTTGTTGCAACCAACATGGACAAATGCACAATGAAACAAAGCACAATCGGCCGTTAAATTAACCTCATTTAAACGCGTACATTTGGTTGCTGCCATTTAAGGGATTTCCTACGATATCTCTATCGATTGTGTTGTGTTTCATGCGCTTTGTAACGTACAGCGTGCATGTTTCACACGCGTGTAATGTCGTACACAAATGAACAAACGCTAATCGTGTTATACACATAGTAAAATAATGATTAAATAAAGTAGTGATGTGATCAAAAACGTGACTTGACACAAGCGTGTCCATAAATTTACATGATCGAGTATAATCTAGTTATGTACAAAACATATTTCAATAAATATCTATAACACAACAATGTCGATTACAAATAAAAGTGTCTTTGAGCAAAAGGATAAGTAGTCGAAAACTTGTTGCACTAAAATCAAATCTAAAAGTAACTCTTTAAGACGTAGTAGTGAATAGCAAATTAGGATAAACCATAAGACTAAACTAGAGTTGTTGTTTTATCTTTATACAAACGCGTTTCAAAATGGCGCATAGCACAGAGTAGAACCTTTACTTTAGTACGCATTGTCTTAGAGCTTCTGTTTTACTAGTATATGCAAATATTTACATGTTTTTTATTCGTGCACCGCGATTGTTTTTCTCTTCGAAGTACGTTCTACATACGTATCGGTTTTACTACGTTTGCATTAAACAGCACAGCCTTTTTTCACACCGTAGATGACCTTCAGCTCGGGGAAGATGATCTTCTTGATGAGCTGATTTGTCTTGGCGGCGAGCGCCGCTCGTTTCGGGTCCTTTTTCAAGATCTTTATGCCTGGTTTGTGCACCAGGAATGCGTTGTCGATGATGAGGAATTCGTAGTCTAACACGCACAGTGCATAGCCCTGTAAAGAACACACATTTAAAACTTAATTTAATTGAACTAATTCACTGGTTCGAAAACAAACGCCTGAATTCTGCTGATAACGAATTGAGTTGCAAACTTCTGTTCTGCCAACAACTAAACCCCGAAGCAATTCACGAAGTATTAAAATTCATGCAAATTGGGTTGCCTAACTCACAAGTTTCAACACAATGCACGCGCTATTAGCGATATCTTGTGTTTCAGATTGAAACTGAACATAATTGTTAGATTTACGTGCACATTGATGAATAGTTTCGATTTCAATTAATCGTGCGGCAATATTTTGCCAACGCGACTTGTTTGTTCCGGCTTCGATTTATGTCTTCAACGAACAGCGTTTAATTGTAAAGATAGAGAAAGATGCGCCCGAGAATGTAAAGGAAAAGCGAGTTAATTGTCTTGTTCGTCGTTCCGTCGAGACCCGGTGATATTTTACTGACATTTACCGGCTTGGTTTTTCATTTGCCCGGCGCCGCCACCACGAAGTAAACCGCTTCATAAAGTAACGCAAGGACGCAAATAAAAATAAATCTTCGACATCGTCGCCCCGCATCAACATCAATATACAGCCTGTCTCATATAGAATAATTCCTGGTTATACCTGAGTCATTTTATCACTCTTGCCCTCCCAGCTCAGGCGTTCGTCGTAGAGCGGTTCTGCATGCGTGCCGATAAAGATGGGCTCCCAGTGCACGAATTTCCCCATGCGCTTGCCGACGTGAAACACGTGCAGCCCTTGCGTTTCATTGGCCGCCATCCATTCCTTACCCATTGGTATACTATGACAACCCGAGCAGAGTTTTTTATGGAAGGGCACCGCCGTGCCGCTGGCGACCATCTCCTTCAGCGTTGTTTTCGTCTCCGGCACCTGCTGATTGGCAGCAATCTCGAAGAGATTCAACGGAAACACTTTCGGTTTGTTACTGCGCAGTGGCGGCGCGTTGCTCGCGATCATCGTTAGGAACTGTTCGATGATGTTCGGTGTGGGGTATAACTCGATGTCCGACGCGAGGATGTAGTGTGTGGTGGCCATCTCGCGGGCGACATTCCTACCAACATTGACAGGATACAACAGCTTCTTTTGTGTTTTATACATTTGTTCCGATGATGCGTTCATGTACGGTGGTGTCAGCGAACAGTTGTATGGCTCGCTGAAGACTTTATTGTGTCTGGGCACCTGGGAAAATGAAATAAAAATTAGTACAACCTGTCAACTAATAAAACTAAAATTAACCGTGTTATATTATTTGTATTTACCAAACAAAGCAGAAACTAACCTCTAATGGATGTTAGGCAACCTAATAAGCAAGTGTTGAGGTTAGTTTGCTTTCTTGTCGTTGGTAACGATCATAAAAAAATTAAATGAGACCACAAAAGTCGATTTAATACGCTATCAGGAAACATGTTCATGTTCTGTGACCAAAACAAGTTTTAAACTGTCGTAAATTTAATTATCCTAAACGGATTATAAAGAAATGCGTCTTTTTATAGACATACGTGTGTTATACTTAAACTAAAACAAGCAAAACGAAATTGAGAAAGTTTTGCTAAAATACTAATCAAACGCTATTTAACAAATCAGTTATAAGTAAATTGACACATGAGTAATTGAATGAACCAATTTCATCCAATTGATCGTCATTCAAATTAGAGAAAATGAATTACAAGTTCAGAATATCGATTTCTAAACGAGTTTTAATTTTCTTCATATTTAAATTATTCACAGCTTTGTGACTGTGAATAATTTCGCTTATAGAAGAAAGCTGTGTAATTAATACCGAAAAATAAAAACAAAAGCGCACGTGCAAATAATTTCTATTTTAAACACGAAGCTTTTGGTTCTCTTCGGCTGGAAGAGCGTTATGAGCACGCGTCATCCTCTCATATTTCAAACGCCGGCGCAGCGTAACAGGTTAATGAAAGTTATAAATAGTCATCGCAGGCTCATTAATCGGATCACGCCGCATATGTATGAACGCGCAAAGCGCCGCGCCCGCAGAAATGATTATCGTTTTTCGAAATCGCGCGCGTCCAGCGCTCACGCATCGTGCTACCGGTTCAAGTGATTAGCACGCATTACTCTGATTAACATCTGTACACGAGTCGCTTTTTTGTACGTCATGTCAAACATTCCACACACGAAATACGAAATTTTCACGTTAATAGTGCTGTGGGGTTTATTCGTTTATTACGTATTGATTTTTCTACTAGTGCGTAACTTACAACACTTTTTTGGTTTATTTTAGTTGTGACAGGTTGTAATAACAGAAATAACCTCAAAATTCACTTAAGTAGACATCAATCTGGCAACGTCGCACATTTTAAATACTGAATGTCAAATAGGTTAGGCAACACATTATACAAACATAAATGGCATGCGTAAATGATGTTATTTAACTAAAACGCGATGCGTGTGGGTGAAATTAAGTTATAATTGTAAAATCAAATCGCGCTATGCGCTGAATATCGATATCGACAGGCGTTAATTAAAGCGCGCTCTGTGCATTTCGCAGTTTTTATTGAAGCCACGCATGACTGCACCGTCCGCGCACCGGGAGAAAATTGTAACATTGATTAAAGCGGATTAAAAACCCAACGCTCCATTAATTTCCTATCTTTCGTGTGGAACTTTGTTAATTAAAGCAATATCAACATCAACTTTCAATTCATCCAAGAAATATTTGCGATTTTTTTTTCGGTACATAGACACATGGATAATCATTGCTTACAGATATTTAACATGCAAGCAATAAACGCATGCCACCATAAAATGATCAAAATTAGCACTCGTTAAACCGGCGAATGTCGTGTCGTTCGTTTGAAGTCCTTCAACTTAAAGATAATCGCATTTATCACTTTCGGCGAGTCGCCCCAAGTTTAACGAGGACGCGCAACTTAATGTGCTCAGACGCGTACGGAAGCAACTTCATTACTTTAGATATTCGCGAGCGAAGCTAGAATTACTATAATTACGAATTATTAATAAATGAATTAAATTTGACAATACGACATGTGTATATTTGGTTGCCTAACTTCAATTCAAGAAATTTGACAGTTGACCTATGACAATTACTTTTCTGGTCGAATAATCATGGTTATTTGTGCATCTTAAATATTATTATATTAAAATTCAATATGAATTGGTATAATAACGAAATTATTCCATGAAATGAATTTGCGTACGTAGTTGATAACATTGCGAGACACGTTTTTATTCAATAGCGGATTCCATTGAATATTCCAACTGAATAACACGTTCGATGTCTGCCCGGTGCATTGGCAATACTTCGTTTCGCTAAACAAATTCCAGCGTTAAATCCCACCGGAATTGAATAGGAATAATTGGCGCCCGCGCGCGCGTGCTCCTGCTGCGCATATACTATTTCAATACAACTAACGCAAATTGTAACATAACAACTCCTTACTTAAACCACCCTTCTTCTTTTTTATTGCATTTAATTCGCGTGGTTGGTAAGTGTTTCGCGCCCATGTTGTCGCGTATCGATTTCGATAACAAAAGCGGATACGCCGCGCCGTGTGTGAAGCAAGAGCAGCGTGGTCGTGTCGCTATGCAGTGATATTATTAAATCAATAGGCCTCTAATGTGCAGTAATGCCCGACGTAACTGGCAACGACAAAAGCGCGAAACGTGTGCCTACGCGCGCACGCCGACCAAGCGCAAATTAATTTCACACGCCGCCGAATACACGCGTGCATAGTAGAAATATAAATATTCATCACGTATCGCACACGCATGGAAATTTGGTTGCCTATATAACAGCATTAGCGCATTAGTCATCACAACCACAATTAACTTCGTGTTATTAGTCATTATTTTCCTTTCCAAATACAAAACCGGAAATGTAGCAAACGGAAACAACGCGCCAGTCAAAAATATCATACAATATCATCTCGCAAATGTCTTGGAGAAGAAAATGAAACTCAATAAACGTGTAGTTTGGATCGTTTTAAATTGCGCTCTGTGTTTTTAATGGCGTCACGGCTCGTCTTTGACATGCCATTAAATCAGAGATGTTTTTCGGTACGCACAATATCGAACACTGCGTCACTGGCATGTCGCCATGGCAACCGCAAAAGAATTTTTCATTATAATCTATTCTTGACGCGCCGGATTATCTCGAGTACCAGCCACAAATCGCTTAAGAAACCAGGAAAGGTGTCGTCAACTCAGAAAAACATCATTATGATTTACACACTCATTTGCGATTCAATGTTGCGGTAGACCAAGATATAGTTCCGGCGTTTTCAGGTCTGCACAACCTTGAAACTTGGAAATTTCACAAAGTGCAACAGAAGACTTAACTTTCTGAAGTATAAATTATTCAAAAACGCATAAATTACAGACGATTCCCTCGCAGTAGTCAGATTTGTAAAGACTAGACAATGATAAAATACTATTTGCTATGTTGTGATGTGTGGTGGTAGGTGAATCATAAGCATTCAAAGGAAACAGGATATAAATTATCATAAAGTACATAAATCAGGAATTCTTAGAAATCCGATCGTCTCTGCAGATAGTCACAACGCAGCTTCTTGTAAGTTATAATCAAACATGGCCGCATGCCAAATAAAAAACTATTTTGATCATTTTTGGGTTGTGATTTCGTGGAATAATATCGCTCACCTCTTTTGGCACATGTCTGGTGCTGAAGTAGACGTGGAACGTGACGAACTCCTTCACCAGCGGCGACGTGCAGTCGCGCAAATGCGCGATTGACTCCATCGTCGGTTTGAAATCGGCACCGGGCGCATGCAGTGCAATACTCAACGGACCACGCCATCGCTCCATCAACGGCACCAAGTTGTCCATGAATGTGTAATCCGCATGCGTCGTGTATGTCACGCTTTCGTGACAGCCGAATGTTCGCGAAGGGCGCACGTAATTATACAGCACCCAATAGTCTCCGCGCTGTTGTGTTTTTGCGACCACTGGTCGATCGACACACTTCGTGTATTCCCGCACCAGATCGTATATACTTCTCTTTTCTTCTGGACTCTCTTGTTCTTGTTCTAAATCCGCAACTTTTGACTCGGGTGACTCAGCATCTTTTTCCATCAGTTTATTCTCGTTAATATCGCCACCCTCCTCTTCAACTTTACGCGCACGTTGCCTCACAATTTGAATAACCGACGATTGTGACTGTGAAACTTCCTCAGCTGTCGGTGGTAGTTTTAATTCGGCAGGTTCGACAATCTCCACGATGGTTTGTGGTTCCAGCGCGGCTAAATTCCGTCCGGATTGTTGAAGTTCACGAATGAACGTTGATGTCGGCCGACTTGAGATCAACATGATGAGCAGATACATGGAGAGCGCCGCGATGACGAACTTCAGCACCAGGTTGCGCCTGCTTGTCATTAATGTGATACTCATTTTATTTTATTTTTATTTTTTAGATTCTGGAGTGTAATTATTATTTCCACCACGGCGTGGTGGGTAAATTGAAGTTTTCGGGGAATTTTCTACGGCCCGGCGGTCGGACTTGATGGAGATAACAAGCGCGCCGGCAGTACCGCCACATCACACCGCGGAGATGTGCTCAACAGGGCGGCGAACGACGGCTGGCATTCCATCCCACGGAGGCGGTTGTATACGTCGTAGAAGCAAGCGACTTCATCTTTTTACCTGGAACAAACAAGATGAGGTAAAAATTTAATATCAATTGATATCAACCAGTATTTTATCGGTAGAGCGGAATGCAGGTGCTTTAAACAGCATAGACGTGTAGTGTAATTAAGGATGCAGGAATCTCGTGCTTCAAATGCGGGATTGTCTGGCGCGTGTGCAAACTTGTCGAGAAGCCTTCGACTTCTTCGGCGCGCCGTTTGCGTACGCACCATTTTCAGATTTGTCGCTGTCGCTGACGCGACATTCGTCAACGGTATACACAATATAAATTAACTATACTAAGTGTATACATAAACAATTTACATATAAATCATAATTTTAGTTATGATTAAATTTAAACTTAAACCGTAAACATGTTTATTGCAGTTTCATATGAATATGAATATAAATATGAATAACGTGAATGTGGATGTAGACTCACAGCTGGTTTCTCAATCTCGACTCTTTGCTTTACAGCCAGTCTGCTGTGTGTTGCAGACGACCTCCGATCGAACTGTGCAAGCATTGCGCTCTCGACGCGGCATTGGCTTCTGTCGGCTGTCGCCTTCCGCCTGAGCGAACTCACTCCCCGGTCTTGTCTTATCACAACTGCCTGACGACCTTCAACACATTGCATCAACAGCGTTCGCATCCCATTCGTTTATTGATGAAATCATTCATCTTATGTTTACAGCTAATTTACATTCTTCGATTTATTGTTTAACAACACATCCGACGCATTACCTGTTAAGGATTAGTCATTTAGCTATTATTAAATAATTACTAATAATATCCTTTTTCTATTTTTAATTAATTAAAATTAATGATCGAGTCTTTGAGCAAGTTACAGATTAAATGAATCGTCAACCTGAATACCAACGCGAGCATTTTCGGGGCACGCGGACAAACCTTGACCGGATCTTTTTGACCATTGGATAGCAACACCTTAGTAAGTAGGTATAAGTAGTACCAGTTTGAGTAGCACCGTTGCTTCTGCACAGCGCCGCCGAAAACCGTTCGGCTCATTCACGTTTATCTTCATTCAACTTTTTTGGCTGGCGCGCATATTTTTCACTTAGCGAATCACTTTTTTTCTTCTACCTTGATATCTGGGCCAAACGAAAAGTTTCTGACTTGATTAAGATTCATTTAAATTTTGTTATTCGCAAAATATCGAGTGTAAAATAATAATATTGATTATAATCCCATTTTTTTATTGATTTGGGTCAGAAATCTCAACAGTTGTGAGCCGATCAAAGGACGCGCGTGGCGCCCGTGTGAAAATTAATTAATGCGCCATTATGCGCGCACCAAGTGAATAATTCCATTACACATTCGTTGCTGAAGAGCATTCAGTGAGAACAATGAGCATTCAATTGTGAATATGGTCGAAGGTTGAATTTGCACCGATGCAAATAAATTCAACGCAATATTAAGACAGGCGCAGGCGCAAACTCCACCCCGTGACTAAAACCCGTGACTAAAGTATTTTAATCACTGCTTTGGCCGCCCGTGTATAAAATATCACTTTTTGTGTCTTAAAACAGTGGAAAATCGCGTTTTAAAGATAAAAATATAAAAAATTGTTGATTTGAGTTGAGGATGCAACCAACTTTACAATTATTTAAAAGTGGAACAGAAGAAAAGAACAAAAATCCAACAAATTTATAATTCATTAATGCAAATGATATTTCCGTTTGACTTCGCCGCGCCGCTCGATTTGTGATTCATGAGTGCCGATTGTCGATTGTGGATTGTGAATTGTCTTTTCCAAGTGCTGCTTCCACACGCCTCTCACCTCAACCGCCGACTTTATTAAACTTATTTCCATACCCAACTACAACTTGAGTCAATAAACCACAAACGAGCGCAATTATATTCGCGATTAATTCTGTTTGCACTTGCAAACATTATCTTTTATCATCTCTCGAGCACAGCTCCCACCAAATGCTGATTTGCAGATAGCTTAATAGGATGATTGAATCATCTCATCAAGTATGAACAATCAACGCGTAGAACCGACGTCGGCCCTCGACGTTGTCACGACTTAACCGGAGCTCAACCTCCGACTTATCATGGACACGGGCAATTAGTAATTACATCATTCAAATTGACATCAATATACAATACGTTTGCGCAGATTAGCGTCACGCTTATCACGATGGCGGTTAAACCGGCGTATTGATCGTGTAATCTTCACGGCGTATTTTTAGATGGAGAATAATTCACGGCTTTCTGCACATCCTGTCGCGCGCGATCAATCAAATCATGCATTGGAGTTTATTGGATTCGTGATGTAGTCATCTATATTGAAATTACTCGTATCTTGTGTAACAAATATCAAACACATTGTATATGATGAAATTTTGTTTGTCTACAATTACCGTAACACAAATGAACTTGAATTTCATTTGCATTTGACGTCGCTGATGGTCTAAGTGTGGTCTTAACCGCAATGTTTACGCCTAGCATTGAGCACTGAAACAACCAATTAATTATTATAGCCCATTTTGAGTTAATATTCCGACGAATATGACTAATCGCATAAAATTATTCGTTATTGTTTTATGGATGCGAGCATAAACAATTTTCAATTACGAATTCATTCATCGATCCGCCGATAATTAATTCCATGCAATTTATTTTATAATATTGATGTTTTTATTTGACGTTTATGTTATTGCGGTTAGCTACAATCGGCACTTAGTTGAATTCATTTTAAATTTTCATTCGTGAAGTAGTCATCTGTTCAATGTCACGATGTCATTGGAATTTTTAATGGTCTTTTTCTGCGATGATCGCTGATTGCAAATTTTATTTACCTTCTTTTTTATAAAAATGATGATCACATTAAGTGAGGTGATGATAGTTGTTAACATAATGTTGTGATATTAGTAAATTGCAAATTGATGACGACACAATTTCACAAGAAAACACGCGTTTATATTTTTGAGGTTATGTTGTATCTATTGACAGTTTTTGACAGTTGACAATATCGAGCATAAAATAGCATAGATGTCGCGAGAATCGTGTAAAAATTGAAGTTCATAATAAAATGTACGATTTGCGCCTTGCAATGCCCGACAATAATTCACTGCAAAGCCTATGAAAGCAATGAAATTGCGAGCAGGCCGACGCGACGCATAGAAAGCAATGAATGATGAATGAACGCGTCGACGAGCAGCGGTGACGGCGCGGCGAAACGCATTCGTCTTCTTATACTCATTGCGCCATTTCGCTTCGCGGGTTTCGCTTTCGTGCGCTTCACTCTCGCGCACTTGAGAGAACATGAATTCATTATGAATTCATTTCTATGACGATGCGACGATCTATCCGCTAACGTGCGCCACATTTCCAACACGACCAGTAGTCGCTACCTAATCATTATTTTCAAAGAAATCTTATTACCGAAAGAAATATCAGCAAATGTGAGAGAAACTGAAACTAAATTTTTGAGGTTATAATAGCATCAATTGACAGATATTTGACAATATTCATTTGTTGAATGTCATTTGACCCTATAATAATTCAAAAAGTGAAAAATATGCCAACAATTGAAAGGATGTCAAAATCAGACGAAGTATAAAATTGAATATAATTCAGTTTCTAGCCTTTCTTCTGCCTACTAATGTCTAATATATAAATGTGCGCCGTCATACACACACAGGATGAACATCCGAAGAATCCGAGGAAGTCGCATTGTCAGCGTACACTCACTTTCTTTTCAAATTAGAGTTTGAAATGTGAATGTAATACGCATACCTACTCGTTCTTCAAAGGCGTCCTAATATTTGTTCAATTTTAACGATCGCGAACATTAAGTAATAAGACATGTAGAACACTTCTAGAAAGCGGAATAAGTAATTATTTTATTGGTAGTTAATACAAACAATCCCCGCGGCAATTAATCTATTAATCTATATATATAAAAATGAATTGCTGTTCGTTAGTCTCGCTAAAACTCGAGAACGGCTGAACGGATTTATCTTATCTTGGTCTTGAATTATTCGTGGAGGTCTAGGGAAGGTTTAACGAATAAATGCTTGCTCAATGCTCGCAGCCGAATGTGCGCATTTACATGCGCACACACCAAATGACAATGGAAAACCTCCGCCACGCATCCGCTCGCCCCTTCGTGCGGTTCGATGCATGAAAACACTCCATGCACGAGTGGCAGAATTAAGTGAACATGCGAATATGAAGAGAACGCCACGACACAACGAGCGTGAGAGGGTGTCTCTATTTGTATCAGTCGCATAATGAAATGTTTAATTAACTTACAAGCAGCTAGCGAGGCGATATCAACCATTAGGCATTTATGTTCTTTCTCGCTTGCATTATTCAATTTATCGCAAGCAGTCCCTAAACGATTTTACAATTCGCGTGTATGAAAGAGTCATTAATAGTGCGCGCCGATATTAAAATAAATGACGCAATTGGAGGATGAATAATACTCTGCTTGAGTCGTTACGGAAAGAAATATTGATCTGGCTGCAAGGCGGCTATCAATTTTGCTTCGTAATACGAAGTAAACGACTTTTCTTTTGTCCGCCAACAAGGTTTTTAGTATGAGAAAGAAGGCATGCAAAACATGGCATCGCGCTGTTTGCCGAGTGTCGCCTAGGGTGCAAAAATCAAATTACATAAATGAAACACATTGTGAAGTTGAAATTTATAGCGGCGAACCGTGCGGACCAAATCAATTGCTCGCTGCGTTTCCGCCACGGCCGCCAATCGCGTACCATTGGCGTGCATCTGGCCGTTTCTAATATCGAAATGAACCTTCAAATTTATCACCATTTATACTTGTTGGGGCGTAAGACTTTTGCCGAAAGTGCGCTAACAGTAAAAAATTAACGCACGAGCCGGGTTCACACTGAGCGCAAATTAAAAACTTCGCGAAAGGGAGCGCAAAAATCAACCACTTTTATTTTGTGTTCGCGTTGTAAAATATTTCGCGCTCGCCTGCCGCACGCCATTTTGCTTTGTTTCGTCGAGTACAATGCAATCGTAATTATTTATGACCACTTTGTAGTTTCAGTTGTATTCTATAGACATTTGGCAAAATGACAATATTGCTTCGGTTACACGCCAATAAGCCACACTTTGCGAAAAATCTCACAAGACGCACAATACTAAGCGCGAGTGCTATTAAATTTAAGTTGTTGCAATAAAAATTAATCACAACCCGGCTGACGTTAACACCTGCGAACAATAAGAATTCGAAATTTGCTTGCTTTTATATGATCTCACATTTGGTGGTTCAATTAACGACAAAATGGAACCATTCATATTAATTTAAACCTTATTACTATGCGTCGTTGATTTGATGAATGTCCCATTAACTTGATTCATATGACAGACAATGTGATAGACTTTCATCATGGTCATAGCCCTGTCTACCGTATGAACAATTTTGAAATTTACAAGTAACGAGAGATCAGGAATAGGAATTTGCTGCTGATGTAGGTGTTAATATTTGCATAAGCTGATGTTGCTATTACCGTTAGTGTTGATCTTGCGTGGATGCCACTTGTGCGGTCGGACTTGGTCGCAGGTGGAGATATCGGCAGTGATTTTGGAATATCTAAGTTGGACTGTAGTTTCATTTCCATACACGAACATATGGTTCGGATGCAGATGTGTGTAAGGTGTCCAGCGCGCCCCCTGCGGACCAGTCGACCCCTCAGTTGGCCCTTCATGTCGTTTGCACATATCTTCTTCGAAATCTATCTCGTGAGGATAAAAATTGAATTCCGAATGCGACTGACCAATGGCAGCGTATCGAGA